CATCATGCACAGCCTTGTCACTGCTTTTCTCATTTTTTATTAATTTACTGTACTGTACACATTTTGGCACAGCTCTTCCACAAAGAGTTACTAGTATTTTCTTCTGCATACCTACTGTATACAGTGACCTGACTGGTAACATCTATGGCTGTGAAATCACAAATTTCTGGGTTGACAGCCTCGAACCTATACGATTTGTTTCTAAGAACGTGCTATAAGAAATTTTCTATTGAAGTATTCTACTGTAGCTCGCAGGACATGGAGTGCAATTACGTAAAGTTTGGAACACCACTCTTCTGTGATTTGGATGTCAAATTATGAAATTCAGTGTGTGAGGTAAACCCATGCATGGCATACACTGCTATAGTATGACTCGGGGTAAAGTGTTCCAACGCATACTCATTATAGTGAATAGTTGTGTGACCAACGTTGTTGCTGCTGGATAAATAGTACATATTCTGAGATAACTGAAGCTACACAGCCATCTAATGTTCAGACATGCATCGAAGGGGCCGTAACGAGATCTGCAAGGCATGATTCTATACCTGTATTTGATGCTCTCTAGCCTAGGACATTCACCTGCCTCATTTTCTCTGTGCTGCATTGATGAGTCCATTAGTAACTAAAGGACGAAACAGCATGCTGTCTGCAGATTGGTAATTGTGTAAAGACAGACGTGTATGTAGTGGTAAAGCTCAGATACATGTGCAACATAACAATCCCGGTGTTTGACAACAGCACAAACCTACACCGCAATTCTTAATTTTGGGCTGTGGTGTTCTTAGTATTCCAGGTTGGATGTTCTGTAGGCTTCCACGTTCTTGGGCGCACGACTTTACTGTGCCGAAGAATATTTTCAGCCAATGAACCCAGAGCTTGGTGGCAGATGAGTGCCATGGAACAGCCTTTTGCATGTGGCTTTCACTACATGCACATGTATAACGTTCAATTGATGCGGAAAAATCAGACGAGGACTTTTGCAGTTATGAGCAAGGTCCCCAAGAATGGTCATGTCACTTCACAGAATACATGAACTGATAGAGTAGACCTCGGTCCCCTCAGAGAACGCTTAACAGAGAACGCTTGGGGAAGTAGGTTTCAACCATAGATTTATACTTAATATTCTTTACAACAAGGATCGATGTGTTCCTTCGGATGCCCTTTATCGACTTTCACACACTTCTCCTCTCTCCTTTCGTCATAAGCACCATCTCTGTACACTGGTTCATAAAATAGTTCTTCATAAAACCCCTTCACACATAATGAAGTACAATTGGTTTTCGACAAGCTCAACCCGTAACGCGCTTATCCTGCCTCTTGTTAAGTCAGCCCGGTATCTAAAGCCCCCCTTGTTTTCCGGTTATTCTCATTGGTTAACTGGGGACATGTCCAAAACCATACTAAGTACTTGAGCTGCTCATGAGCCCCACAATTATCAGGCCCGCCGGTCTGGTTGGTCAGGTTATCACCAGACCAACTTGTTGGCCACCAACAAACGTTTCCTACCGTGGAGGACGTGTGTACCCGCCATGAAACTACCGGACCAAATTGTCCAATCAAAAACTGCTTCCGGCGGTACTGATTATAGTACAGGTTTAAGTTAAAAAGCGGCTCCATTTTGTCATACATTAAACCAACTCTGTCATTGCTATGCTACTCAAAAAGAGTAGTGATGTTTATTCACAAATGAATCACAATGCTATCAGAGAAATTCGATATTCTCCAATTTTAGGGGCACTGCAATACTATCCAAAATTAATGCTGCATGGTCATTGTTATGAAGCAGTCACCTCAGTACAGCAATTAAACAGGCTGATTATGTGAACGAGATTCACGGCAAATCTTCTTCCATCAGTGCTGTTCAGTCTTGAGTGGTCCACTGAGACAGGAAAACAACCTGTTCGGTCCTTCCATACGAGAAACAGAAATTGAACATGTTCCAGGGTGGAGGTGGCGAGTATCGGCAATGTAATGCACCTTTAGGCCAACATGACCATCATTCCGACATGGATTCTCAAACACCTTCGCTCGTGAGAGTGCCTCAGAGTGGTATTCATCAACAGATGGCAATCCTGTAAAACACATGAAAAGACATAGCAGCAACAGAAAGAAACCTAATGTTATAGAAACGAATTCGAAAAACAAAGTCTACTATTATTCTAATACAGTGAACCAAGGTACAACCACACTCCAGGAGGCAAGCAAAAGAGCATATAATCCGAAGGTTGTGATGCCTGTATGTATTGTATTTATGTATTTACGGATTCTCCACAGGCTAAATCGAGGGAGTCTTTGTCATGCCACACTGGATACAACATGCTACCAGAATCACTTTCCCCAGAATTGATGATCTTTTCTTAGGGTGTTATATAAGACACATCTGTAGCCACTTCATCTTGCTCACGAAATCATACACCACCACACAAACGGGTCCTTCGGCTATTATACTTTGGGTGGTACATGGTGATGTATGATATTGATAATCTATTGATACCATATTCAAGTCTGACTCTCACCGTGAGATCCTGGCAACAGTATTACCTGGTACACGACATATTCAGACACTGACATAAGCATCTTTTTGGAACAACAGGTGTGCCTATCTGCTAGTGTAATGTGACACACATGCAGAACACATGCAGAATCAGTCATAGCTAATTTTACCCCCTCACTGTTGTATGCGCAGACTCCACTTCGCGGTGTCAAGTACTCTTCTTTCGGTGGGCTACTCCACTAAGGCGCTTGTCTAAAAGGACTCACATTCATCCTGCAAACCAACACGACTTGCATAGTTTTCACTGTCGGCCAAAGTGCGTGCATTGCACACATTGAGATTCACTCCCTCCGTACAGGCCAGTACAGAGCTGCCCACCAATTGAGTCTGTTTTGCGTACTCAGACTTCTGATTTTCCGTATCTTGCAGTGTTTTGCGTACTGCCGTGTACATTGCATGCATACTTGCACTGTAATGTTTTTTGACACGCACATGCATGTCGGTGGCTGCATTTGGTAGTGTAAAACATGTGTGACTTGCACTCACGACATTATTATTTTTGTGCTACATGTACATGTTGTTGTGGTACGGCATGCACTCGCTTTGGTACAAGACTATTCATCACTCAGCTTACACTTGCAATGCTTCTACACAGCTGATTGATCCTCTCCGATTTTCTATACCATTTGCGCAATTTCTGTAGTGCGCACAAGGAGTGATTTTCCGTACAAATACAGAAAATATGGAGGGCTGGTACTTGGTAGCACTGCTAGTATGGTAGTACCAGGCTAAGCTGGCTGGAAGATCAAATACTTCTTTGGTTCTTTCAGTCATTTTCACGACATATGTTTTCTTTATCATGATCCCCGGGGTGTGACATTCTTATGAATGCAGAAACTCAGTCTTTCTAACCGAGTCTCACGTGCAATGTGAATTTGTTCTTCTTTTCTTCACAATGCCATGTATCGATTCATCGCTTCTTCCCACCCGAGATCCTATGCAACAGCGATTTAAAGATTGGCTTTATCAAATAGTTAATTCAGAGAGAGAGGATCAGTTGTGGATGCTGTGACAGCATAGAGTGTAGATTGGTGTAAACATCATTGCCCAGCAGAACCGTATTCACAGGGATCTGCGTTTAGCATATGGAAGCTATTTTTTTAGAATTTGTACACGTCCAATAAGCCTGAAGAGAAGAACACCTAACTTAGACTGTCCTAACGTTATCGAACGCACTGCCAAAGTAAAAACAACATTTGAAATGCAAACTCGATTGTGCATGCATGGAGGGCATGGGGAAGAGACTGAGGGGGTGAAAGTGAAGGAAATTTGTTCCGAAATCAAGAGAATCCGAGGAACCCTTGCTGCATTCTTCAGTTCGATAACGTCAGTGGGTGAATCTCAGATGTGTTGTGTGCCCAGACATACAAGTACAGCACTAACCTGAGCATGAGAGCTGCTTGTCATCATCGTGGTCAGGAAAACGAAAGGACGAACGAGGAAGATTGCTGACCATGCATGACGAACAACTGCATATCTAGCCGACAGACGGCTTGCCAGAATCAGTCTGGTGTATCTTCAGGAATCTTCTTTCCTAATCGCATTCAGCAGTCAGCTTCGAGGTCAAGAACGCGATGATGTTTTCAGAAGGAATAATTTGCAAAAATTTTAAATTTTGGAGAAGAAGCTTCCTTTCTAAAAAAAAAGCGTTCCTTGCTTTCACGCAAGGAGGTGCCTTGCCGGACATGTCGTCGACAGCACAGTGTCGGCAGATCCACGTTTGTAGGCTGCAGACCCGGCAGACGTTTTGATCGTCCCGGCCTGGTGGTGAGATTTTGGACCCGGGAGTACTAAAAAGCTGCTCGCATCCCAGGGTGCTCAGTTTCGCTCTACCCGCGCGAGTAGGGGTCCAGGTAACGGGCTCTCTTTCGCGGCCTGCGGAGCATAATTATACCTCGTCTGAAGGAACCTACTTAGACTAAATCGATGCCGTAGAATCTGATTCTGACTGCCGCTTGAGCGTGGAACCAAGGCAAACACCTCAAAAGCGACTTTGAAATCTACAAGAATCTATCGAGATGCGTAATATCGGCACGAATTCGCCGTGTGAGGCACCAAACGAAAGCTTGAAACCTACTCTTGAACGGTGCGCCAATAAAAATGGCGATAAACTCACTCTCCCTACCTAAAATCGACGCCGAAGACCCCGCGCTGAGCTGTGCCATGCCTGGCATTCAAAAAGCATGCATGCGTGTCAAGGTACTTTTGCCCCCGCAGATCACGTGACTGAAATCCCTACTCTTGATGTCATGCAAGAGCAGCCCATGGCCCAGCAGCTGCGCCGATCAGTGATCACTGATCAGCTGCATGCGCGCATGAATCGCGCGGCATATGATCAGCTTCATGAATAATGAATGCACTCTCCGAAAAAAAATTGATTGTTTTTGGAAGAGAAATGAAACAAACCAAAAAATAATAAGTAATAGTTTTGATGGAACTATTTGAAGTCGAAGTCAAACACTCAGGCTTTTATTTTTTTCTAATTCTAGCTTTGACAAAGAGAAACATTGCAGTATCGTGCATATTCATTCACCTAGGCCAACCTAGGGTTTGCTTGGTTGTTCGAGTTCAGTGGTAACTAGCATTCTTCAACTGTTATGGACAAAGCAGCTCTAAAAAGACTGAGGGTTGAGGCGGAACGTCTTCACAAGTGGACATTGACACAGCTGGAGAATCAAGACACCTCAGTTGCGCCGAGAAAGTATATCGAGGAGAGTGACTTTGAAGACAATGCCGATGATGGTCAATTTCCAATGCGAGATGCAGATGTGGACCGTCATGTACATAGAATTATTGCACTGAGTAGCGTGTATCCACTTGGCAAAAGTCGTGAAGGAGTGCTGAACGTTGATGGCATTGCTGATCAGAGCTATGCTAAAGATCTGGGCAGTGCCCAGGATGCCCCTGTGGCAGAGCAACTCCCTAAGCCGTATCCACAGCTAGGGTCAGCTATGGTTCCCGGTGCTTTTCTGCAGCAAGATCAACAACAGCAGCAGCAGCAGCGATATGAACACGTACTGCATGTGGATGGCGATGGTAATGCCACGTACGGCGAGCTGGACACAAGCTTGTTCTCACCAATTCCTTCCCGCTCAGCCCAGGGTATCACATCATTGACTATGACATCAGGTCAAACGAGTGCAGCGCCCGACACATTGACGACTGGGAAGACAAGTCAGCGACCAAAGACTTCGTCTCGATCATCGAGCGCTATCGCCGCACCATCGATGGTTGGGCCTGGGCCTGCTACCAAGGGGTTCCCGGTGACCTCCACGCCGGCCGTTACTAAACAATCTCGCAAACGCAAGCATGCCAGCACCGTTAATTGACATATATGTGTGTGCCGAGTCGGTGTACTATTGTTGCAGGTTGTGCTGACAGTGGCAGCTCCCCTTTGGGGACAGGTAACACTTCAGTTGGGATACAGCGCTCTAGCCACCCTCGTTACTTACAACTGTGCAGTGTGCTGTGCGCTGTTGCACTTGACTCATTCGCTCAACTCGATGCAGAGCAGCGTAATGTGGACAGTAGGTTAAGATAGCTGCCCGTAGTCACTCCCTGGGGTCACTCCAATGATGTCATGACTCGATTCAGAGCAGCGTGCTGGGGTCACTCCAATGATGTCATGACTGGTGCAGACTGCAGAGCAGCGTAATGTGGACAGTAGGTTAAGATAGCTACCAGCAGTGCCTGTAGCTGTGGTCACTCTAATGATGTCATGACTCGATTCAGAGCAGCGTGATGTGCATGGTAACTTCAGATAGCTACCCGTAGTCCCTGGGGTCACTCCAATGATGTCATGGCTTGATGCATGAGCAGCGCAATGTGGACAGCTACCAGCAGTCCCTGTGGTCACGCCAAGGATGTCGTGACTCGTTGATGCCAAGCAGTGTGACGTGCACGGTAACTAGTAGTCTCTGGGGTCATTTCAACGATGCCATGTGCTATCTCAAGTAGCATGTGGTATACAAGTCAGGAACCAACCTGTAGTTAACCTTCTGTCAGTGACCTGCCAGCTATTGCATCTTCCAGTAAGCAGTTGGTCGGATGCCAAGCTTGTACTGCTACTGTCAAGGCAGCGTCACTGGTGCGACGTCAGTGCTGCTACTGCTCCCGACCTGTACTTGACTCTTGAGGCACCTGTGACAGCTGGGTTAGTAGGCTATGCGGCCGTGGTTCAGTATGCGTGTACTTGGATGCGATCGCGCTGCTCCTGCGGAATAGCGCGGGTGAGTACCGTAAGTGCGGGAGTTTCTTTACCTCGGCAAGTAAGCAGATAGCAGGAGAGCACCCTCCAACCCCAATGCCCACGTCCGGTATAAAGAAGGGGTGTATAGGCAAGAGAAGAGGGAGGGAGGGAAATGCGAAGAGAAAGAAACAAAGAGGTGCGGATCGCCAGATTCATAGGTTCGCGGTGGTCAAGCATGCCTCTCTGAAATATTCTCAACCTTGCTTTATTACACATGCTCATGGACTTGATAAAGTAGCAGTCAGGACTCAGGTGACCGGAATTTCCGCTGTTTCTCCGCTACTACTCATACCTTACCCATTCCAAGCACAATGCTAGCCGAAAGGGATGAGTGCCTCTGTGCGTGTGCGTGCGTGTGTGTGTGTGTTTGCGTCTGCAGTTGTAGAATCCTTCTGAAGCTGTCCATGTTCTCTTTCTCCCTATCGGTGAACAGCAATAATTATGACGTTTGCAGCAAGTGATGATGCTCTTTGATAGGTAAGCTGGTTTGCTGTCCGTGCTTCTTTTGTTCATTTTGTATTCACTGCGTTTACAAGCCATTTATGGCCACTCGTTCATTGTCTGGGGGTTTTAAGCCCTTAGATTTCTGGGCATGTTTACTCATAGAATCCCCATGCCCGTTATCATTGTGAATTTACGCTTTGCGCTATCTGTCTGTACGAAGTGATGTACAAGAGTGTCTGGATGTTCGTTGTTGTCTCTTCGTTTTGGTTTGTATGGGGCCCTTCAGTGGCTGTGAAAGCTAGGGCAAGTCACAAGCCTTTGTCACTACCAGGGAGTAGAAATTTTACTACTCTCTGGTCACTACCAGGGAGTAGGTATTTTACTACTCTCTGGTCACTACACTGTATGTAAAGGTTTGAAGCTGCACTGCAACACGAGACATGACAGCGCCGTGTTTTTCATAATGGTGCTATTCGTAGTTCTGGGGCTAAAGCTGCGACGTCGTTGTCAAAGCCAGTGTTGTTGCCATGAGCCAGTAATACAGGGCATCACACGGTTATCACACTATTGAAATCACATCACTGATCATTGTCATCAGTGGCTGGAACTACATGTATAGTAGACACTTTGTTTTCTGTGATAAAATGTTCTGATTCTTCATTTGAAGCAGTTGTGAGCTTGGCGCTTTTGAGCTTTGTCAAAAATGCCCATGTACGTATGGTGCTGGACAGTGCTATCCGCCCACTCGATCCAGAGCTTACTGTGCAGCAAGTAATAGTTGCATGGTGGACGTGTGAACTGTGGGTTGCACAGCTGCAGGGCGTCGATGAGTGCTTGACTCAGGGTGCGCAGCGTCGCGCGTAGTGTGTCCATCGTTGTATGTCACTTGGCAAGTTGCCAGTACATGTACTGTACATTTGGCCACAGTGCAGCGTGACACCTTGGCTTCTGTATGTTTTTGTTAGCACCACTTTTGCATAGTGGGGAACAACTGTACTACCATAGGCCTATGGCTGTACATGTACTTATGCGCACACATAGTCATAGGTGCTAGTTGGACTACTGACTTGTATAGGCCTCTTTAGCACTACTCACACGCACACATAACACACACACACACGCGCGCGCGCGCGCGCGTGCACACACACACACACACACACACACCGCCCCATCCATCACCTAACATGATCAGGTGTGAATGCGATGGCTTCACTTCAGGCAGGGAGCTATTGTGATAATTTTGCTCTCTGTAATGCATGACAGTTATTGCTTTGAAGCACCTTTGTTAGCACTGGAAAACACATTGGCGGGCATGTGTGCTACTTCACCCTGGATTCCAAGTGAGATGTTGCAAGGTTGTACGTCCGTGAGAAATCTCTCATGCACCAGTCCCGCACCAAGCTGTCATGGTATGCTGCCCCGTGCCCGGCAGTTTCTCATTTCTCTCCTGACAGAGCTTGGGCCATGAGTGCAGAGACTAACCGCTCTTGTTTTGACTTGGCTGTTTCAGCAGACGTTTGGTGTGCCTATGCCGCACTCTATGATCCGCCTGCTACGAGGGCATGTACACAGAATGCTGACGGAGTTGCAGAGACTGGATGGGCGGATGAATGGTGTGATCAGCATGTGTGGTTGTTGACAAGGTGAGTGTGGCGTCCTCATCACCCGGCCAACTCCAGTCTTCTGTTCACACACACACACACACACACACACACACACACACACACACACACACACACACACACACACACACACACACACACACACACACACACACACACACACACACACACACACACACACACACACACACACACACACACATACACACCCACCCACACACACACACCCACACCCCCCCCCCCCCCACACACACACACGCACGCACACACACACGCGCGCACACACACACACACACACACACACACACACACACACACACACAGAGCGAACATGCATGAGAGCCGTGTAGAGGTTATGCGAATAGGAGCATCCCATAGGCTTTGTGTGGAGTGGAATCCAGTGCTAATCAATAATGAGTGCTTTTATCAATCCAGTTTGTATTGCCATTTGCCATTCTATGCAAATCATCTGAAAAATGATGATGTGATTGCATGACTTCTACACTGTGCTGCTCAGCTATGACGCAGGGGATCTACTCTACAGAGTGGTTAGGCCTCACTGCGACGAAGTAAGGCATCTACAGACTTGCTAGGTCTCGCCTTACTGGACACACAACTACTTGCTCTTGAATTGCTGTAGCCTCCTTATATGGCCCGTCTCCCAACTCAGCGTGCTCTCCATTGAGCATAGTATATGCATAGGAGACTGAAGCAAGGCTTTTTGCAAGAGTGGTCACCGCTCCTGCAAACACCCTTGCTTAAACGCTAGATACTCAATGCTGTCTCTAATTAAAGCTCCCCTGTCTGCATCTTCTCGTTTGGTGCCATCGATCCAGTCATTATGGCCGTGTCGCTGTCTCCCGTACATCCAGTGTCAGAGCTGTTCGTAGCCTGTCTATACTTGTATGTACAGTCCGTTTCGAAAAGATTTACAATCCTGGCGATCGCCCTGGGGAGTTTGCCGTCTTACCGTATGAGCGCTCGAGCGCTGCCTGGAAAAACTCACTGTGAACTCGAAGAAATATTCCGCGCGAAAGCACGAAAAATGACAACTCACTCATGTCGATACTCTGGTTCACAACAAACGAGTTCTTCTTCGTATCGATATGGAGTCAGAGAGGACATGTCGAAAGTGTGGTACATTGTAAATGTTGACGAGCGGCATGGGTCACCAAATCGTTTCTTTGAAATCGTTTCTTTGAGCTGCGATGCAATTATTCACTCTCACCATGTGACGAAAACGACATCGACATAGACTCATTCCCAACGCCATGACTTGGCAAAGCTATCCGTGTTACTTCGACGACTTTTTGAGAAAAGCAGACGCCTAGCCTGTGAAAGCTGATAGAAGACGGCATTGACTGCTAAATTCAAATAAATTCGCGATCTTGAAATACTAAAATAATACTCAAAAAGAAATCAATCGATGTGCAACACATACATGTACCCCTACATGTAGCTACAGCGCGATGACTTCCGTATTCACTCACACCGTTTCAGTGTTGTGGGTATGTTCACATGGCGTGAGCCAGTCAAGTGCCAGTCAGTTCGGCAGGAAGCCCGAGCTCCAACAAGTCGTTTGGTGCAGCCACCTTCAAGGCTTTGTCTTGTACCAGCTTGATCACCAAACCAATGAAAAAAAAAGTTTGACTTGAAGATAGGTTGGGATTTGAACTCACAACTTCATGGTCAGCAGACAGCACTCATAACCACAAGGCCAAAAAGGAGAAGATAAATCGTGGGTTTTGATAAAAAAATCGATACTGGCTTCCAGGGCAAATTGTAAACCATGGGAAAAGGCCCAAAACCTGGCCGAAATTCTGACTCCTTAACCGCTTGTCCAATTGTTCCGAAACCTTCACAGAACAATTTGCCGTGCCCTGACAAGCCCTTTTATGTACTTTGTTGTCCAAATTTCCCTTATCTTCATACTTTTTAAGACCAAAACCTGATTGTAAATCTTTTTTGAAACGGACTGTAGATCCACCATGTGAAGTTCATCCACCGTCCGTAGAGACAACTGCTCGTTCTTCTGTCTGTATATGTAGATCTATGACTATGACCCGCGTTTGTGTATATGTGCTGCAAGATATGCGCTGGGAGCCAAGTAAAAACTACAGTCGGCTGCAAATGAAATCTGGCCTTTCAATTAGTTGCGACTTCCTGGGCTGCTTTATAGCCCATGCCAAATACTGTAAAACAGGGAATTTTCGTTGCTGTAATAATTTCGGTATTTCCCAAAATCAACGGTTCGGTAGCACGAAAATTTCGGAAAACCAGTTTTCCAGATCCGAACATGCACTTTGCACACTGCGTGGCATGGCGTGGTTGAATTTTAGGTCGCGTTTTATTCTAGGCAACAATTACCTGTACCGAAGTTCCCGATTATGGCGATACTAAAATAAATCTCTACCAATATGTTCCGGCTTTACAGTACCAGTTTGTGTTGGTGTGTGTGTGTTCTCTTGCTATTGCAGGGTCAGCATCATTGTCTGGTTTTGGTCGATTCAGACATGGTGGTGACAATGTCATCATCGTCCACCTCCAACAGCACAGCAGTGCCAGTTCTCCTTGTCCTCCTCTAGCTTTGAGTTCCAGGCACCAAGTCGGGGCGAGCTGATGACGCCATGACCAACCTGCTCGAAAACGGTATCATGCACTTGCAGTGTATTTTAAACTGAAAGGAAAATGTCTGAAACAGCTTGTCGAGTGGCACTGACGGTAATGATGAAGGTGAACTCACGATGCCGCCACCAGGGCCAGGAAATGTGAAGTAAGTTGAGCGCGGCACCTGGGCACCGGCCTGGTCGTCTTGGCCACAACCAAGCTGTGCCTCAAAGCTTCCTCGCAACGGCCACAACCAAGCTGTGTGGGTAGCTTCCTCGCAACGGCCAGCTGGTTCAGCAACCCATTGTTGTCACAAGTTGGCAACGTCGTATGTAGATGGCAACAAACTGGTGGATCACGTTACTTCACCACCACTGAGGACGAAATATATAATGCACTGATGGCTGCCATTCAGGCGAGCGATGAATGCTCCTGGTGGCCAAACAGCCTCGTCTGGCTCAGGTCCTCTGAGCTGTCCGAAGATTACCCACCGGCAGTATACGAGTGTGATGTGCATGCATGCATAATTATTATTTTAAAATCATGATCTGCCTTCCTGCTATCTGCAAACATCTTTAATTCGTTTGGCTATGGGGATTGGGGGATCCTTCCCGCCGACGTACATATTTCAATGCAGTTGTTTTGTGTGCGTACAGTCAGTCTACTCACAGTCTACTCACAGTCTACTCACACACTTCACACATCCGGACGGCATTACTAGTGTATGGATTAATTAAGTCACGCATTTTTGTCTCCAAGATCGGAGGGCGTGATCGTGACTAAAACCATGTGTAGACTGTATTTTCACCACCCCAGTCAAGCATGATTGCTTGGTAAACAGCAGCCATGGACCAACTCACAATTCACATGCTTACTGGTGAAAGCAGTAGTGACGGAACGGTGAAAACCGGAGATAAATGATTTAATGTCATACAAAAAAAACATATCATTTATCTCCGGTTTTCACCGTTCCGTCACTATTTGACTGCTTTCACCCCATGCTCTCTCTCTCTCTCTCTCTCTCTCTCTCTCTGTAGAACTGCAAAAACAGTGGTGACAGTAGTGATCAAGGTCTCCAAATGCTCGGGCTTCCCAAACCAAGTGTGCGAAAAATGTGCCAGTGCGAAAAAGAAGAAGAAAAGTGCCAGTGCATGAAAATTGAACGAACAAAAACAGAAAGCCAGGAAATAAATTAATGTGCTTGAAAGCAGGTAAACTCAAGTTCTCAAGCTACTTTCGACAACCATCACTGTACTTTGAAGTAGAAGTAGTAGTCTTGAAAAAAGAGAGGGGGGGGGGGGGGGATACGATCTGCTCTATTCGAAAGTGCACATAACATTACACATACATGTAGTTGAAATAGCTGGCCGGGTTTGACAGCTTTGCTGGTGATGATGATAAATAGCTGGCCGGGTTTGACAGCTTTGCTGGTGATGATGATAAATAGCTGGTCGGGTTTGACAGCTTTGCTGGTGATGATGGTGGCACGGTATTGAGCTTACAAGCCGTTAGGGCATATGCGGTCCTTGGGGAAAACGAGCATGTGCCTCCTGGTGACGACAAACTTGAGGCACTTGTCTGCTGAATGAGCACAAGTCACGTTTGCGCTTGATCCGCGGGGGCGACAGCCGAATTGAAAACCAGACGCGTCTCGCAAATCATTCGGTCTGAAGTTAAGTGCCGAAACGCGCTGAATGTCCCGTGTCAATGGTTGCGGTAGCTCTTCGTTGAAACCGGGGAACAGCAGTGTGGACATGGACGGGTCATTGTGAATTTTGTAGCCAATCTCCACAGCCGATGATTGCCCAATGCAGTGGACCGTCACTTCTTCCTTGCTGGCAGCCGTTCCAAACTTGAACTTACGGATCGTGCTCTCTCGCTCCTTGTGCGTGTTGATGTGCGCCGTCTGCAGACAGCTAATCGCCGATCCGTCTTGTGGAATAATGTTACTGTGCCGAGGTGCAGGCCGCGGTCTCCATGCCTGAGCGCCACTCGAACCTCCGGATCGGGCATCTTGTTGGGAATCGGTCGAATTATGATCTGTAGCCGGCAGAGAACGGGACAATGTATGCGTCAGCAGTCGACTCAGCACCACAAACCCCTATCTTCTAGCACTGCAGTATATAATGCTTGTACATTCAGCGTATTCTAACGTTACTTTGGCTTATTTGCACGATTATTATTTATTTACTTATAATTGTGTACATCAGCGAGGCAGATAGACATGCTGATGACACTGCTAAGTAGACATAGTGTGAGAGATAGAGAGTTGCAGCTCATTATGTTTAGAAAGCCAAGCTCTTGCATGTGACGAGTCCTGCGTGGTGTATACCGAGCATCCAGCAAAAACATAATGAGCTGCAACTCTCTATCTCTCACACTATGTCTGCTTGGCAGTGTCATCAGCACATCAACCTGGCTTACAGATGTACAGAATTATAAGTAAATAAATAATAGTTGTGCAAATAAGCCAAAGTAACAAACTATGTTTGCTGGATGCTCAGTGTACTATACACCACGCAGGAGTCACATGAAAGAGCTTGGCTTTTAAACATCACGAGCTGCAAAGAACAATCCTTATCTATACACCACGCAGGAGTCACATGAAAGAGCTTGGCTTTTAACCCTTTGCGGTGCATCAGTCATTAACGACTGATATTGTGTACGTACCGTAAAACTGTCGTAACTCCATCGATTTTAGTCCTGTTTTTAAACATCACGAGCTGCAAAGAACAATCCTTATCCAGTCCCAGACCCTCATCATATTATTATTATGATGAGGGTCTGGGACTGGATAAGGATTGTTCTTTCCTTTGCAAGTGAAGTGTGAAGTGCCCACTATTAATCAGCAGTTGCAAAGCCATGCAAAGACATCACGTAGTGGCGCAGCCGGGGTCCACAGCGCTTCATTTTGTATCTTTGTGTATGTGTGCGTGCGCGTGTGTGTGTGTGTGTGCGTGTGTGTGTGTGCGTGTGTGTTTGCCAAATATCGACTCACGGGACCGATCACGTAGGAGCAGAGCAAAAAACATGCATAATGCGATATCGCATACAAGTATGTCACTTGCCGTTTCCGTAAAAGTCAGTTTTCCAATGAGCCACAGATATACCGATTTCCTAAAATTGACCGGTTTACGTTACGTGTACTAAAGGAAACAATTCTCACTCTTCCTGAACGCTCACTAGCAACAGTACGAGTACTGTACTTATTTCTATATAACCTTTTTTCTATTTTAACGGCAGATTTCTCCCCGTTAAGACTTTGAAATATCCGGCACTTCGAATCACATACATTTTGATGGGGAAATGCCATAGATACTGGTATGGCATCCGACGTCACCATTTCAACTAAAAGTGACAAAAGAGTAGTACCGGTAATATTTCCGCTGAAACTCACCCAAAGGGTGGCCGGTAGACCGAAGTGCCCGTAACTTCGGGGTCCGGATAACTGAGGTAAAGTCTTGTATAAAAGCCGCACTTGAATAGAAGCCGCAATTTTGGGCCCATCAAATCACACATAAGCCTGGTTTTAGTGTTGACATACATAGAAATACCTGTCTTGTATAGAAGCCTGCGAAATTTCACCAAGAAAGTCATAGAAGCCGCGGCTTTTATACAAGACTTTACGGTGAGCGTACAAGGCTTTTACAGTACATCAAAGATATCCTACCGTATATTAAATTAAGTTGTATCACTTGAGCACAAATACCATGAGAATTTACAGGTAGAGGTATCTTTTTTCAGCACCAGCTCCTGCCTACGGTGCTGCGGATGTCTGTGCAACAGGCAAGCTGCCAGGCTCAGTGCGCTCTCTACGGTTGGTCTTCAGGAAATGAAGCCGGAATGAATAATATCGTTATGAATTTCACCTTGGTCTGGCTAAATCCAATTGTGAGGTTGGTGCGAGGGGGAGGTGTGTCTCCAAGAAGAAAATTTGAAATTTTATGAGAAATTGAGCGAATTTGGGCATTTCGTGAGGCTCCAGAAAATGCAGGAAAGATCCCAGTCTGAGAACACGAACAGAAGTCAAAGCTGAAAAAGGGAAGGCTGGAGTCGGATTAATCACCGGAAACCTCACTAACCTCACTTATTGTTTTCTACCTACTGTTGTGCACATGAATATCCAGTCGGAGGTCAAGCGGCCCAGGGCGCTGGCCATGCAGCCACGAGTTCGCATGTGGTCAACACGTGCACTGTGCAATGCAACGTTCTGTACGCACTGAGGGCGCCGGCCGCACGTCCGATTCGACTGGATTTCCATGTCCACGGCAGTAGTACAAAGTGGCTCCTCGCTATGCCACGGCTGCACCGTAGCCCTATAGCAGTTAGTGCACTGGCGTGTGCATCGACATGTGCATTGCGTTCCGCCCTTGATCGATCGTAGAACTCCGCACTGAAACAGATTAAAAAAAATTGGCCCCGAAGAGTGGTGCGATGAAAAACCGGATCAACCGGCCCGGTGGCTTCGCGCCAGAGTTTGTATGTTAAGCCTGGCAAGGGCAATCTGTACATGTAGACCCGACCAACACACCTTCTCAACACACCTTCTAAACACACCTTCTCAACACACCTTCTAAACACACCTTCTAAACACACCTTCTAAACACACCTTCTAAACACACCTTCTCAACACACCTTCTCAACACACCTTCTCAACACACCTTCTCAACACACCTTCTCAACACACCTACTTTCAATAGAAGCCGCTTATGCACGTTGTGCAGATGCATGAAATCCCGTAGAAACGTGTAGAATCTCGTAGAATCCCGTAGAATCCCATACTCCCACCCGGTTGGGTGTTGAATGTGCAGGGCCCGCTTACTGCTATTTCCACTAAGAAATGGGTCCTGAAGACATTTCATACGAAAATATTTTTTCCGACAAAGATCTAGCTTGTCACTAGTTCTATCTAAAGAGATGGAGCTGGAAAAGCAACTGTTTGCCATTAATTATGACTTTATGAGGCTAAATTGGTCAAATGCACGTGTATAGCACACAATGAACACCCAACCGGGTATGTACACACCTACGGCCCTGGTACAGAACTTCGTACATCTGTACAACGCGCCATGATAAGGACCATACATCCCCCAAAACAACTCAATACATTGGCAGACTCACCTGTTTTGTCCGTTGCTGGCTTTGCAGGGATGGTGTACTCTTGCTGTGTATTAGGGTCTATCTGCGCTGGCACCAATGGTACGGTATATTCTTGCTGTGTATCAGTGTCTATCTGCGCTGGCACCAGCGGCATGGCATGATCTGGCTGTGTGCCAGTGGCTAGGACGTTGACACTCTGATGCGGGTCTGTTGAAAGTGAGACAAGGAAAAGAAAGAGGTTCCCTCTTATCACAGAACTACAATGTCCCGGCCCAAAAATCTCCAACTTTTATACAACTTATAGAAAAGACCAAAATAATACATGTAGCCACCATTAATAATGACTGGTCCGATTGGACATATTTCATAGACTTTATGGTAAGTGTACAAGGCTTTTACAGTACATCAAAGATATCCCACCGTATATTAAATTAAGTTGTATCACTTGAGCACAAATGCCATGAGAATTCACAGGTAGAGGTATCTTTTTTTCAGCACCAGCTCCTGCCTACGGTGCTGCGGATGTCTGTGCAACGGGCAAGCTGCCAAGCTCAGTGCGCTCTCTACGGTTGGTCTGAGTCAGGGAATGAAGCCGGAATGAATAATATCGTTATATCGTTTAAAGAATTTCACCTTGCTCTGCCTAAATCCAATTGTGAGGTTGGTGCGATGGGGAGGTGTGTCTCCAGGAAGAAAATTTGAAATTTTATGAGAAATTGAGCGAATTTGGGCATTGGCTCCAGAAAATGCAGGAAAGATCCTAGTCTGAGAACACGAACAGAAGTCAAAGCTGAAAAAGGGAAGGCTGGAGTCGGATTAATCACCGGAAACCTCACTAACCTCACTTATTGTTTTCTACAGGTCTGCTCTCGATATAACAACTCTCACTTGTACATAAACCTCGTTAGTACATAAAAAAGCCAAATCCCGCGCCGAAACAGCATCACTCCCATACAAATTTTGTTCTACACAACATAATCCTACATAACATAAACCTCGACATAACACACGCTGCGGCGGTCCCCGACGTGCGCACTCTCGATACAACATAAATTCACGTGCACGGTATGATCAAGCGGTAGCTGTCGCTAGGCAGTTTAGGCCAGTTTAGTCCTACATAACGTAAACCTCGGCATAACGCACCCTACGGCGCAGTCCCCGGCGTGTACACTCTCGATACAACGTAGATTCACGTGCGCGGCACAATCAAGCTGTAGCCGTAGGTAGCCAGTTTAGTCCTATGTGCATTATATTCTGCGGCATTGATGGTATCTGATGTCGATGGTGGTACAGTGTGTATATGCTTGCACGGTTGAACCCGCCTTGTAATACCCTTCCTTTTGAGGTGCATCTTGTATTTTACACACGGTTTTCTACATAACATAACTCTCGATATAACATAATGTTTGCGTGGTCCCAGAGATTACGTTATATGGAGAGTAGACCTGTACCTACTGTTGTGCACATGAATATCCAGTCGGAGGTCAAGCGGCCCAGGGCGCTGGCCATGCAGCCACGAGTTCGCATGTGGTCAACACGTGCACTGTGCAATGCAACGTTCTGTACGCACTGAGGGCACCGGCCCCACGCCATTCGACTGGATTTCCATGTCCACGACAGTAGTACAAAGTGGCTCCTCGCTATGCCACGGCTGCACCGTAGCCCTATAGCAGTTAGTGCACTGGCGTGTGCATCGACATGTGCATTGCGTTCCGCCCTTGATCGATCGCAGAACTCCGCACTGAAACAGATTTAAAAAAAAAATTGACCCCGAAGAGTGGTGCGATGAAAAACGGATCAACTAGCCCGGTGGCCTCGCGCCAGAGTTTGTATGTTAAGCCTGGCAAGGGCAATCTGTACATGTAGACCAGACCAACACACCTTCTCAACACGCCTTCTCAACACACCTTCTCAACACACCTTCTCAACACACCTTCTCAACACACCTTCTCAACACACCTTCTCAACACACCTTCTCAACACACCTTCTCAACACACCTTCTCAACACGCCTTCTCAACACACCTTCTCAACACACCTTCTCAACACACCTTCTCAACACACCTTCTCAACACACCTTCTCAACACACCTTCTCAACACACCTTCTCAACACACCTTCTCAACACACCTTCTCAACACACCTTCTCAACACACCTTCTCAACACGCCTTCTCAACACACCTTCTCAACACACCTTCTCAACACACCTTCTCAACACACCTTCTCAACACACCTTCTCAACACACCTTCTCAACACGCCTTCTCAACACACCTTCTCAACACACCTTCTCAACACACCTTCTCAACACACCTTCTCAACACACCTTCTCAACACACCTTCTCAACACACCTTCTCAACACGCCTTCTCAACACACCTTCTTTCAATAGAAGCCGCTTATGCACGTTGTGCAGATGCATGACATCCCGTAGAAACGTGTAGAGTCTCGTAGAATCTCGTAGAATCCCGTACTCCCACCCGGTTGGGTGTTGAATGTGCAGGGCCCGCTTACTGCTATTTCCACTAAGAAATGGGTCCTGAAGACATTTCATACGAGAATATTTTTTCCGACAAAGATCTAGCTTGTCACTAGTTCTATCTTAAGTGATGGAGCTGGAAAAACAACTGTTTGCCATTAATTATGACTTTATGAGGCTAAATTGGTCAAATGCACGTGTATATCACACAATGGACACCCAACCGGGTATGCACACACCTACGCCCTGGTACAGAACTTCGTACATCTGTACAGCGCGCCATGATAAGGACCATACATCTCCCCAAAACAACTCTTTTCAATACATTGGCAGACTCACCTGTTATGTCCGTTGCTGGCTTTGCAGGGATGGTGTACGCTTGCTGTGTATTAGGATCTATCTGCGCTGGCACCAATGGCACGGTATATTCTTGCTGTGTTTTATTGTCTATCTGCGCTGGCACCAATGGTATGGTATATTCCTGCTGTGTTTTATTGTCTATCTGCGCTGGCACCAACGGCATGGTATATTCCTGCTGTGTTTTATTGTCTATCTGCGCTGGCACCAGTGGCATGGCATGATCTGGCTGTGTGCCAGTGGCTAGGACGTTGACACTCTGATGCGGGTCTGTTGTAAGTGAGACAAGGAAAAGAAAGAGGTTCCCTCTTATCACAGAACTACAATGTCCCGGCCCAAACATCTCCATCTTTTAAACAACTTATAGAAACTGAGACCAAATACATGTAGCCACCATTTTAACAATGACTGGTCCGATTGGACATATTTCACCCCTTCATTCACCCCTTCCCTGCGACACGCGATGCGACGGCCGCGAAACCGGGAAATCCCCAAATCGCAGCCATCTCGCAGCCCACGCAACTGCCGCAACTGGGCCATCGCAGAAGTTGAGCTTGGCTCAACCTTTGCGATGCGACAAGCAATTTGGAGTACAATTTTGACCTTTTCTACAGCAAAGTTGTACAAAAGCTTAGGAGTTGCCTGTAAATTTGTACAAGTTGTGCCGAACCGCGCGAATACCATGGTGACGTACCCACCTGCATTGAACTTTGCGCCCAATCCGCAAGGCGTCGTCGCATCGCTGACTTCTTCTGTGAATGGTATTGTTCTGCGCAGTTTCGCAATCTGCGCAGTCTTGCAATCAATTGGATGTGCAGTCTCGCAATCTGATCCTGTTTTCATTCTTCATCTCATGTTTGCCTTGCACGTGCTGTTTTCAGTTTTTCTGCCTAACCGTTTTAACTGTTTTTGGTCGTGGTTTTCGTAACTGAAGAATGGAAGGGCACAAAGAGAAGTTCCTTGCGTTTTGCAACGAAAAGTTCCCGGGATGTGTAGCTGCCAAGACCAGCGAAACCATATCCCAAGCAAAAGGAGCTCGGATTGTCGAGTTTTTGAAAGGTACTTTCACTCACAATCTCACTCCTCGCAATCTCGTAGAACTACAGCCAGTAATACCGTAAAGTCGCGGATAAAAGCCGGGCTTATAAGCATATAAGCCGCTTTCTGCATCAGGCTTTAATGCAAACCAGGCTTGTATGCAAACCATGCTTATATGCACCACTGATATTTTTGCCAGGCTTGTACGCACGATTCTATGCGTATGCGCGACACGCGTAGATCTACCACTACCGGTATGACGGCAGTTTTACGATGCACCGTACATAGCGCATGCACTCTTGACCTACCCAATCCGCGCTTGCATAGAAGCCAGGCTTCGACGCGCGACAGGCTTGTATGCATTTGACCGGTTTAATTTTCAGACTTCTATCCGCGATGTGCTTGTATGAAAACCCGTGAAATTTTTTTTTTTTTTTTTTTTTTTACGGTAGTCTTGTTTCTTAACATCTTTTCCTGGAAGGTGGAACGTGTGGAGACGCGAACCTGAAAATTGCGCAACCTCCCGAGCTGCAATGATTTATGAACGAGCTGCACAATTTCGAAATTACGCAGCACAATTTCGAAAATGCGCAAACTCCCGAGCTAGCAGCACAATTTCGAAATTGCGCAGCACGGTTTCGAAACTGGCTGCGCAATCTCGCAATAGATGACTTGCACAAAGATCCGAGCCGCGAGTGAGACGGGGCAAGTGCACCCTGTGCACCCAGGCTACACTGCGGGCACCCTACGTAGCTACACCGTCTGTAGACTAGTGTAGTGTACTTTTTTTGTCAGCATGAATGAACGGTGCACGGCATGTACATGTACATGATCAGTACCGTCACTGTCTTCAGCAGCTCATGAGTCATGCATGTGCACTTGTAGGGTTAGTGGAAGCAGGTATTGTACTACTCCCTGAGTGGAAGTACATGACTGGATTATTATGTGAAGAGAAGCCAGGCGTCCAAACCAACCCAAAATACTCTTGCCTTATTCTTTGGTGAAATAGTTATAAAAAAATGTCTTACTAAACAACAGTGAGCATAGAAGCAACCTCGATGCACCCAATAATATGGCATCCGGGAACAGCAAGTGTTGCACGAGGATCCCAAGAACACGTCAAGTTCCATGCTACCCGCCGCCATCAAAAGAACGAAGGGATGATAACTGTGCTAGCCTAGTTCATATTCAATGTAACGCTAACGGTACGGGATATAGGAGCCTGTTGGGAAGGCGTGGGTGAGCTGTAAAATCTTGTACGGTTCGCACAGCACAACATACATGCAGCAGTTATTGCGACGGTTAACGTCGATGGACAAGAGTCATAAAGCACAGTCCATGGGGGTTGACGTTTCTGGGCTTCCTTTCCGAAAGGAAAGTTTTATTTCTTCTCAAAAAAGCAGAATCATGCTGATTATACCAGTCTGTTATGAAGACAAGGAAGCAGCCATGGACATTGTGCCATACTAAAACGACAGGTAAAAGATAAAGCACTTCATCTGAAAACTCAAGGACTATCCATAAATACAGCAAATGATTATCCTAGCCTGGTAATGTTCAACTCCGTCATGTGAGCCATTCGGTGAGTTATCATGGGAAGCATAATGTTCGAAATGCTGAAATTTGAACAGTTGCAGTTGTGTTCGTCGCCACACAATGCCATCGCCAGTTCACATTTGAAATGTAGCCATTTTTACGCTTGTGTCCCTGTACACGGCATGGAAGGCTGAGCAGATTCAACTCTTCCATCGCTTCCTGATCTGTACAGTAGTGCGGTTGCGTTCCCGTTCTTGACACATCGGTCTCCGCTAACCAGCATCATGAGCACTCCAATGGTTCCCGCCGCTCCTTCCGTATCGTCCCAGCGCGCCCCGTCAAAATGTGAATTACTGTAGGCAACGGAGCCAGTGTATGATGAAGGCGAATGCACTGTTTGATGATGCTCCAACAAATCCTTTCTGAGACTGAGACCCAGCCGGAGCCGCATCGTCGTCATTACCAGCTAATCATGGGGAGGTATAATGTGACTTTCCACCACTCCCTGATTCAATCATAGTTTGCGAGCTTGCGCCAAACTGCTTTCTCACTAGAGCCAGGCATTGGATACATATGGCTTCAGTAAGGTTAACAATGCTATGTCTCTGGCCTAAGTCTAAGTCTAGATACAGCTGCTCAGAGTCAGGGCTGATGAAGTGTTCATATCGGAACAAGTGAGACTTCAACAGTAGCTAGTACACATCAGGCCTGAGGACTTCGCAGCGTTTCTCCAGCACACTTGTTCTCTCCTTCAACTCAGATACTACTTGAAGTACTACTAAAGGCCATCTGGCTCTCACACTCAGTCCTTCCACCCCTCATTTTCGTGGTTCGGGCTTCCACTCTTGACTCGGCAGGTTCCTGGCCTCTCCGCAGTCTGTCCTCAGGAGAGGGTCGCTCTGGAGCTAGTGCAGCCGAATCGAAGGGAATCGAGTTCTTTCTCAGACGTCCACAAACTTTCGTTGTGCTTGATTTCGCTGCGGGAAAGTTGTCACACTTCAGGACCACGACGTGCTTGTTGCAGCCTACACCAATGATACTAAAATAATATTCCCTCATTTTTTCTGCCTCCCGGCCGGCCGGCTCGGAAAGGAACGTATGGAATGGGAGCCTCAGTTCCATCTCTCGTCTGCTAGTGCATTCAGGAGCGTAGCAGCGCTTCGGCATGACGATACAAGCCGAATCAAAACAACTCTACTCTCCAGCCAAAAAAATAGCTCAGTGTTCGTCAGGCAAAAAGCGAAACTTCGAAAGTCACGAACTCAAAAGGTGGGGAAGTCAGAGTCAGAAGTACAGTCCAGAAGGTCCACTTGCCCCGTCTCGAACCCAGACAATCTTTGTGCAAGTCATCTATTGGAAGAATGTGCAGCACGATTTCGAAACTGCGCAGCACAATTTCGAAATTGCGCAGATTGCGAAAATGCGCAGAACACTATTTCGCGAGTTCGCATCGCATGCCTCCGTTGCAGATCGCGTCGCAGAAAAAGCTTCTGTGACTCCCGCTTTAGTCTTGGTGGATAATATAGCAAAGGCATCATCATTTCACCAAGAACAGCGAATTGCACTTCGAATTTTACTCCTCCGCTACTTACTGTTCATGCACTCCGACATACGAAAGAAACTTTTCTTCTTTTCTTCACCATGATCTTTCGCGGCCTCCTCATATCAAAAAAGAACACAAGTGGAGAACCACTGGGCTTGCAACAATATGAAGAAAAGAACACTTTTTTGATGCTATCCATGCGATAGCACCTTTCAATACTTCGTAATTCCAGAATGAGTTTTGTCATTACCGGTACAGCGATACCGGAAGTGTGAATTCTGTTCAGTTACAAGCCCATGCGCTTATATGTGAGGGGTGCGCGCGCTTATATGCGGATATACCGGGCCCATGCGCTTATATGCGGATATAGGCCCATGCGCTTCTATGCGGATATAGGCCCATGCGCTTCTATGCGGATATAGGCCCATGCGCTTACATGCGCTTGAATACGGTAAGCACAATCGCTCACTGAAATTCCAATTAGTTACTAAATAATTAGTCTCCAAATTTTCGCTTCTTCGGTTTCATCAGGGAGTTTAATGTGCTGCATGTACTTGTAAACGTTAAATTTGGGAGGTCTTTTGAAAGACGAGGAAAAGAAAGAAGTTACCAGCCATCAAAGTACTGCAGTGGTGGGCTAATCACTCTTAGTTTCAGGGCCATAGGCACCATTTTAATAATGACTGGTCCGAGTGGACATACCAGTTTCACCTTGAACACAGGCAGGTTGCGAACCCAGTGCATGTGTTGCTGTCACAGTACAGATAAACAGTTGGTTGCTAAAGTGAAGTTAGTATCAGCTTACATGGCAAGACAAGCAACCGAGCTGCTGCTGCAAACACACCAACGGCGTCCAGGCTATCGTTCCCATTGATGAACCCATGGCACTCGTAACTACCCTCGTCCTCCGGACGCAAGTTATACAGGAGGAGGTGCGCACTCTGCCTAGCCGTGGTTGAGAAGCGAACAGCCCGTTCCATATCCACGTCGCCACCTTGCTTGGTCCAGGAGATATTCACAATGCTGTCTAGAGGCAAGTCGTTAAGAAAGCAGTCAAAGACGACGTATTCGGATTCCATACGGCTGGCACTCTGGGGAGACACAGTGATGCCACCTGTGGCAAGCAGTTGGAATACATAAACCCAACAGATAATGTCACCATCAACAAGTAACTGCTAAAGCATATCCAGAGTATTATGGGACCCAAACGGGAGCATCCCAGTGCGAATGCATGACCACTAACAAGCATGAGCTTTTAAAGGGGAAGTATACCCTAAAATCAAATTTCACCAGTTGTAGTCTTCGGGGTGCTGAGTCGAATGGTCTTGGTCCGAGAAAGCTGAGACGCTCCCTTCCTACTTCGGAAGTACTTTATTCCCAATCGAACTCGCCACTTCCACCAAAACTGGGTGACTGTGCCTTACTGGATGGGGATTTGTATGCAAAAGTGCCATTTCGTTCTTATAAACGCACAGATAACAGCAATTGGCCCATAAGTTGTAGTCTTTTGGACGCCGAGTCGACTGGTTTTGGTCCGAGATCGCTGCAATGCAACGTTCGGCCCTTATTCCCAATCAAACATGGCTGAATACGCGGCCACGTGCTCACGTGTACACCAGTCACCTGGTCACTGTGCCTCCAAGCTATAACTTTCACACCAAGGTTCAACTCAAAGGTTCAACTCGAGTGACAGGAACGCGCCCAAACAGCCTGTAAGTTGTACGCTGAAGGCACGGTGACCAGGTGACTTGTGTACACGTGAGCATGTGGCCGCGTATTCAACCATGTTCGATTGGGAATAAGGGCCGAACGCCGCATCGCAGCCCTCTTGGACCAAAGCCAGTCGACTCAGCATCCAAAAGACAACATACGGGCCAATGGCGGTCATCCGTGCTTCTATAAAACAAAAGGGCGCTTATTAGTGACATTTTGCATACAAATCCCCATCTAGTAGGGCGCAGTCACCCAATGTCGGTGGAAGTGGCGAGTTCGATTGGGAATAAAGGAGGAAGGGAGCGTCTCAGCAAGTTCCTCGGACCAAGACCATTCGACTCAGCACCCGGAAGACTACAACTGGTGAAAATTAGATTTAAGGGTATACTTCCCCTTTAACTTCCCCTTTAAGTTAAAACTCGTAGCTACGGTACTTTTAAAACAGTAAAACCTGTGTAACCTGTGTAACCTGTGTAACCTGTGAAACCTGTGAAACCTGTGAAACCTGTGTAAGCCGCCGGCCTCTCAAGGGACCTTACAAATGTGGTCCCCGTGTACAGGTGGTCTCCTTATCCAGGGTCATTTGGCTGGAAATAGCATCCCTTGGTCTCCCCTAGTTTCCGTGGTCTCCTGGGGTAGTTGGTTGCCTTATCAGAGTTGTCGCCTTAACCGGTTTTGTTCTACTATAAGAATTGTTTGAGCACAGTGACACTATGTCAAGTGCAGCCAGTGCCACATTTCAAAACAGACTGCTGAAGACATTGACCATGGGTAATCACCAAGCGCAGCTGAACACTTACGACTGTCACCTTTAACAAGTGCACCAAGCTGCAAAGACGAAAACAGCACACACACATGCAAACAAAAGCTCGTGTTTGGGTGTGAAAAAAGAAGGCAGGATGGCATGGGCAAGAACTGATGCAGTTCAACAGATTCAAAGATGATCGTTGTTTCTACGAATCACTGAGAAGATCATAGATCTGATGATGAGATGAGAATCAAAGGTTAACCGTGGCGAAACTCTTGAAAGACTTGCGGCATGACTAACGTGCGTTTGCATGAACTCTCAACAATGTTTGACTGAACTCTCGCGCAGTGCTGTTTCTTGATTGGCATTGCTGCCGTACAATCTACTGAAAACTGCGCCAGAATCCTGCAGTAGATGCAGGCAGCATGCGCTCAATAGTGTGTTTGAGGAAGCGGGCAAACTGCAGGCGCGTGCGCCGTATGGGTTCCTGGGTGCCCGGAACCCCCCCTTTTTTCGCTCAAAATGCAGGATTTTGCTTCATTTTTTGAAAAATTTCCCGGGGGAGGCCCCCCCCCCGAACCCACCCCTTGAAGGGCACCGGCGCACGCGCCTGAACTGCATTGATTGAATGAAGACGCACAGCTCCCCACGTGTCTGGGCATAGTTCATTTGGAGCTGATTGGCGACTGCCCGCATTATCAGTTTGGTATCCACTCGTTTCTCATTGCTGGTGCTTTACAAGACGCCCAGGGGCATGCCGGGCAAACTTGCTTGTTGATGAAAACCAATGTCACCAATTCTGGAACAAGTGTGGTGCTTAGAAGTACAAGTAGCACACGTGATGAAATGACTATTTTTGGTAGGACATTGTCGTCAAGTATGAGCAATGGAACAACCCGTGGGACAACCCAAGGGGGGGGGGGAGAAAACCCAGGGGGACAGCCCGAGAAGGGGGGGGGGGGGCAACCTAGATTTTCAATTCACCCTTGTCACTGGCAAAGATATTGGACTTGCGATATAGGTCCACAGGTCACAACAAGACACATAGGAAGGATGGGGGGGGGGGGGGGGGGGGGCAACGGTATGTTCAATCACCTGGATGACAAAGAGAACGGCCAACATCTTGAACACTTCCATAGCGTGTCCGATATTTGGCAAGAATCTCAGCTTTTGACGAGATCACCTCTACGCTATCCCAACTGCAAGAAAACACACACATACACACACACACATACACGCACATACACGCACACACACGCACATACACACACACACACGCGCGCGCGCGCACACACACACACACACACACACACACACACAGCTATAGCAACAACTACTGGTAACACAAAAACAAAAGCAGACAGTCAAAGGAATGAAATAGAATTACAACACTATGCAACAATACCAACCGTGCCAAGAACAGGACCGTTACCATGGCTACCTAAACCTACAACACATCGGAGGAAGTACACAGCTGCTCAATGAAATCCAGTCGAGTCACTTGCGCAGTCCTAGACGTGCGGACACTGGGCTGCGAAATGGTGCAAGGCGCATACTTGAGTGGCAGGACTGGATTTCATTGACTCTACATGGTATATGTTGTGTACGTATTACCAAGGAATTAGGGTCGCAAGTAGGGCGTTGGCGCTGCAGGTCATGGTAGAGACTGACATGTACATACATAATGGGTAAGAGAAGCGACTGACTGGTTCAGCTCTGGGGCCCTGGTACTTGGGACTTGCGTAGGAGCGTTACATCATTGTACTGTCGGAGTGCACCGGTGCACCATGCAGAGCCGGCTAGCCCTGCTGCTACTCTCTCATTGCTGCTTGGCACGCGTCTCCTTTTTGCTACGCGTACCTCACAGTGTCCATTTGGGACACACGAAAAAACGTGGCATGGGCAACTGACACTAGCCGGGCCGGACGAGCCGAAGTGCGTTGCTTTGTCGTCGAAACGCAATGGGCTGAGCCACCATGAGGCATGACCGTGAACCAGTCAGTACCTCGCGTCGACATCGCCGCGATTGCCAAAACGGTTATTGGACGCTTGGAGACGAACACAGTTCCTCGATCAATTGCGTGGCTCTCTCTGCGGAACATATCCGCCGAGAGAGGCCACTGTCGAGTTTACGAGATGGCATGCTTCACCCCTCTGCCAAAGGTTGGACGACAGCGTCCATGCACCACTGGAGCATTCAGACGACGACGTTTCCGCTGGAGCTCCTCTGCTGATACTACGTCGCACTGCCTGACGCCAGTGACGGAGGAAGTCCTCGTTCCAGTGTTTAGCATTTTGCACAACTAACTACAATGTAGTAACTAACTTCCACAAAGTGCCAACCATCGTGGCAGCTCAGTGCCGTAGAAATCTACGCCGCTGCAGAAGATGGGAAGTCTTGCGCTGTAACTCTCACACGAACGCGCACCGAGACCACCAAAGATATGTTTACTTCGTGACCAAAATGATCATAATACAGTCTGTATCGCCTATAAGGTTGGCGGCTATAGTAATATACCGGATATAGTGATCAATTTCTCAAATTCATTTTCATTTGCCATAACTAAGTATACACAGTTATCGCGTATAGTAATAATCGTCTATAGTAATATATCGCCTATAGTGATCAAATTCGTATTTCAAAAGACCTCCATTACACTATTTTTGCATCGGTTATAGTGATTGATGTAGAACCAAGCGATGTCAGAGGAGAACAGGGTGTTACTTCTTCGTGAAGAACTTGTCCAGTGAGTGTTGTTTGGTGAGTTTTGCTTGTACAAGTTGCCAAAATATGCCTCCTTCATGAGGAAATCCTGATTTTGTGTGTCAGGAGCTACAGCCAGCTACATGACATTGTACATGTATGTAGTGCGTATGTGCACGGCGCGCGGAGTCGTTTGACACCCCACTCGCATACATTGCATGCAGTATCGGTCATAGTAATATATCGCTTATAGTGATAAAATGCTCAAAATCAAACACCAACGCTATAGGCGATACTGACTGTACAAAGCCCTCCACTCAGCTGCACAAGCATAAACCATGTAAACGCCAAGAGAAATAGCAGGCACTCTCACAACCGTGTTGTCCTTGAAACTAGCCGGCTGCTTCGACGGCTCTTTGCCTTTTAGTTTTATGACTCGTAGACCTTTTTTGCAAGACTAGACTTCGTAGATTCCGTATCTTTGATTTAGGCATACTACAATGATTGTAGATATCTATACTGGCTACGTGTGCGCCTACAACAACAACATCTTTGTCGTCAACGGCAGGATTGGCACCGTGGGAGCGGAGGCTCGAGGAACCTCACACGGCGGGCGGGCACTGCCCACTGGCCCCTATCGCGTCGCGAGTCGTGACTCGTCTGGCATTCCGTTTCTCTCACCTCGTCGTCACGTCAATATGGGATAAAGTAATACTAATTAATTTATATTAGTTTAATATGCATGTACGTGTGGCAACTTTAGAGCGAACTAACTGTTACTTACAGCAATACTAATAGATTGTCTGCTTCACGCGCTTGTCTAAATTCTAGCACCATCTGTATGCATGTTCTAGCAGCACTGTGCGTTTCGTTCTTTGGGTATGCCACTTTTCTATGTAGAAAGTGCGCCACTTTTACCCTATACAATTTTTAATATACTCATTCCTTTATCTGCTATTCATTCGTTATCTACCTCCACTGAGGAGCTCTAAAATGAGGGAAACAGCTGTCTGGAGGATATGGAGCATCTGAGGCGAAATCGCCTGTTTGTGGTGCGACGTTAAATAAACTTCTACAACAACAACAACAACAACAACATCTATCAAAAAACGAACTTCCACGCTATGGATTATGGTGTTGTGAATGTGCGCCAAGACCGCAGTGTGGAGAGGTGGACAGTTCAAAATACTACATTGTAGTAAGGCGAAACCATGTAATAAGGAATAGTGTTATGATACTGTTATCCTATTACAGTAAACCTGGTGTAAGCGATAGGCACCGGCGGATTATGCCGGCATAATTATTGGCATAATTTGGTGGTTGAAAATTTGGAGCATAATTTGGCATCCTTTCGGAGGTAGGAGCATAACTGCATGATTGTATCACAGTTCTAGTATATAGGCTACACAATTGTGTACAATGCACCTGATCAGTGCTGGTGGTCTGCATAGCAAAGGGTTCGGAGTAGGCTCCGGCGGATTATGCTCGCGAAATAATGGAATTATGCTTTCAAGGATTCTCGCATTATGCTCGTAAAATCCTCATAATTATGCTTTGGTACCCGGGATATATATTCACTTTGTTGTACTTATGGAGCCTCAAAGTTCGGAAAATTGTGCTTTTTTCGTACTTGCAAGTTGCAAGTGGCCATAAGAACAACAAAATACATGAGTATCCCCATATCAAGGTGTCCATGCATATTAGAGATCAACATGGGAAAGAAAAACATAATTATTACTTCTTCTATTAACAAATTGATTTCTTTTGTACTTCAGTAAAAATATTATTTCATTGCCAAATTAGTTTGAGTTACCTTTGAAAATTATCAGGTTCAACTCACGGTCTTCGTAATCATCATACTCGTCCAACCGATGTCACCCTCACCCTGCGAATAATCAGCTCATCTCTTCTTCCGTAGCTCCACTTCTCCTTCCATCATGACCGAACATCAACTATACATCAATTTCGAGCAATATCGATAGCCTGCTGTCATATTATGACTGCTAAAATCCAGAGGTCATGACTTCGTAACATGCATAATGTACAAATGTAATGTACATGTACATGTACACGGAGTTTTGCGGACTACCCGCCACTACCTCGTCCGCCCCGGGATACCTGCTGAAGGCTGATTCACTCGCATCTTCTGCTACATCATGTACTGCGTCAGTGTGAGAAAGAACTTTGAAGAAGACGAGTTCGAGCATACAATACTGTATTGCCATGATTTCTACCCTGCTTTTCATTGAAAACACTATCTGCATGACCTCCGAACCCTTTACCATGCAGACCACCAGCACTGATCAGGTGCATTGTATACAATTGTATAGCCTACATACTAGAACTGTGGTATAATCGTGTAGTTATGCTCCTACCTCCGAAAGGATGCCAAATTATGCTCCAAATTTTCAACCACCAAATTATGCCAATAATTATGCCGGCATAATTCGCCGGTGCCTACTGTGTATTCGCTGGGTTTAAAGTACTCCCACAATCAGAGACAAATCAGCTACTCAGCTACCTGTAGGTCGGTTAGGCGAGTGCCGGAGCAACAGTGTGTCATATACCACTCTGAAAAAGACTGCCTATTCGCCACTTTGTAATCATAGCATTGGAGGGCAATGCGCGCCATGATCTGGAAAGGTTTGAAGACACTACGTGATGTACAAGTCATGTACATCTAGCACCGTCTTGCCACCCGGTCTCCTCACTACGTTATGAATCTACAGAGCAACCATTCATTTCGATCCGACGGGAGCCATCACTAGTGAAGGTGACCTACATCTAACGGTACAGTCATATTATTTGGAATACAGTACTTTGCTCCACATATCTAAGGGCAGCTTTAACCTATTATACAGTCAGATACTTAGTAGTGCCACAACGAGGCACAAAACTGACAGGGATATTGAGACATTCAACGACTAAAGCATATACCGGGTAATAATAATACTACTACTACTACTATCATCGTGTTGAGAGAACGTCACTTACTCTGTCTTGGACTTCACTGCGAGCTGAGCGGGATTAGCACAAGTTTCTCGACCTCGGCAAAGGGAAGAAGAAGAGGAACGCACAAGCTCCCGTTTGTTCTCCTCGAACAGCCAAGAAGAAATGCACCAGTAATACTGTGGACTGCTACTTATATACGAGTAATGGAGAGACTTTGCGTATTGCAGCAAGAGCGCGAGAGGTTAGGACGCCTGATGGTTGACTCCTTGTATGTAAGTAGCTTGCGCACTCAGCACGGCAATGGCGTCCGTAGTGGACTCCATCGAAGTAGGACAGTCGGCAATGGTACTTGGTACTGGATAAATCTCCACTGGGTCCTATTCTAACACCTAGGCAGAGCGTGTGGAGCATCTGGACATGTAATTGTTGCAACGAGTTGGGCGAAGGAGTCCAAAGTAACAGCGAAGATGTCCTGCAGGATATCTGGGTCCCGCAGTTCATGAGTCGAAAAAGTGAACTCGATCCATGAAAGATGCGAACCTAGTCTATGAGGCACTGCCTTAGCACGAAGAAGTTCTGTAGCGGATCATCGTGATCTGTTTCTGGCATCACACAGCCCTGCTCGTGTTCTACCAATCACACACTCGTCCCACTTCTTCAATGTCTTTTTCCTTCGTCTGTTTGTTTAGTCTTTCAGCTCCTTTCTCCTCCTGCGCCCTCGTCATTCGTTGATTATAAGAAGTCAGAAAGAGTATAACGTTGTTTGCGTTGTCGTGTGGCGGGGCCATCAGGCGAAAACAACACTAGTTGTGTTTCAATCATTACAGACAATATGCAGAGCAGTAGGTCACGGAATACGCTATGTGGGAACGAAAAAATGGCTGCGGTGCTATGCTGACTGTCCCCAGTCTGACACAGCTACTGGTTACAAAATCAAATACAACCATGGCTTTCACAGCGTACAATGCATTTTCATCTACTAGCAATTATTGAAGTGATATCTATTCATTCCTGAAGAATCATTGCCGAAATCGCAACCACTATTTCGTATTATTTGATATCTATCAACTTCAAAATAATTATTGATGACTGGATATCCTGGTTTGTCATGCCATTTTACAAAATTGTTTAAAAAAAGGTAGGGCTGAAACAATTATACCGAATACTCGAGTACTCGCTCTCGGTTTTTCAAAAATAATCGTACTCGGAATAAATCAGAGAACTCGTTCATACATGGTACATGCATTTACCACAGATGTCTGCAGTTTCAGAGCAGCAGTCGGCAGATATTGATGTGCAGACTGTGTGGTGAACATTTGTTCACGAGTAGAGAGAGCCAAAATGACCCACCAACCAATATACCCGAGAAAAATGACTGCTACTCGCTTCGATCAGGGTTGTATCATGTGATTTTAAGGCCCTTGGTGTGCAATTTTTAGGTGATGAAGAATACTCGAATATTCGATCGGAGAAAATCAGAGTACTCGAACTCGGGATCCCAGTGCCAACTTTCACCCCTAAAAAAAGGACACGCCCTGCAATTGAATACTAAGAGTACAGAACAGTGTTGCCTCAGGCTGATGATTGCGTGAGTATGAAACTTGAAGTAGCAGCAAACAAGCCTTGATTGTCCTCGTTGTGTTCTGTTCTGCATTACGCTCTGCCTCCGCGGTGTTGAGCACTGTCAGCACTCTGGGTACATCCTCCGGTGAATACTGACAAAGTTGTTTAAAAAAAGGACACACCCTGCAATTGAATACTGAGAGTACACGTGTACTGAGAATGTAGGACATGATTGCAGACACTTTCTAAAGAGGGCTCATCCTCATTTTTAGACTCAACGGGTACGAAGGATAGCACGTCCACGTGTCGCACTTGATTTGGTGAAGCTTTTCTAAAAGTTGCTAAAACACGGCAATATACAACCATGTTTAAGTTAAAACAAGCCAAATCGCCTCGTATGATGATGAGCTGGGTAAGAAAACCGGTGAAATGGGGACAGTCCTGAGCTGACAGCTCTCTTGTTTCACACCAGTAGCAGAAGGTTTCTTTGAATAGGAGGGGAACATTTATAGGTGACAGCATCACTCCACAATCTGTTCAGATCATCATAAGAGTGTTCTTGATTTATAACCAACCCGCCAACCCACACTTCCTACATTGCTACCATACCAAATGCAGTTGCGCAAGTTTTATTGATGGGTGCAGCACAACACATGACAACAAGGAGAAAAACGAAAGCAAAAATAGAATAGAGACAGGAATTGAGTTTCGCAAAGCCCCAGCCGGCAGATAATATCTAGCATTGACGTATTAAACTGCAATAAAAACACGAGTAAATAGCTGCTTGCCTGTTCGATTTGGTAAAGGCTGGTACGAGATACAATCATGTACATGTACATGTATGAGCTAAAGACAAAGGTAAGTGAAAGTAGTGAAAAGTTGTGCAGCGTGAATGCGTTGGGGAGCACACAGGGGGGGGGGGGGGGGGGGGGGGGAGGGGGTATGTACATGGCGTAGGCATACCGGAGAGCGAAGCACCATGTTTGAAAGTGAGTTTGCGAAGCTCATTATTGAAAATAATAATGGATGGTTCTGCAGTTAGTCTTGGTGGGAGGCAGTTCCATAAGAAGGAGGTTTGGAAGAGAAACAACGATTTTGATGTGGTCTTTGCTTTAGGGAGAACAATTTTGTTTGGGCGTCTCGCACTCTGCGTGATATTGAAATGGAATGAAGCTAGGGAACGTCGATACTTGAAAATAAATTTGTGCATGGCAACTTAGCTTAAAAACTGCCTGCGGTAAAGAAGGGATTTGAATGTTTAGCTTTTTATCCTTATAATTTATATCCTCTACTTATGAGGTCAAACGCGCATGTATAGCACACAATGAACACCCAACCTGGTATGTACACACCTAGTACCTACGGCCCTACATTATACTGTAGACTAGTGTAGTACAGAGCTTCGTTCATCTGTACAACGGTCAGGCCATATCTTCACCAACTGGCGTTGCTTCCGTCCTCAGATATTCGAACTATGCACAGTGAAGGGATAATTGTATGTACACGACCAAGGATAAGAGGTTATGCGATACACGTCATATAGTATATTTGCCACCCCAAATTCTTCTATATAAGGGGTTTCTGTACCCGCTTTGGGCATTTTGTCACACCAACTGGCTCCTACATGTATATATGGTGGATTTGACGTTATCGCATAACCTCTTGGGCAAAGTTGCCATTTTTGGGAGCAACTACATGTACATACATGATATAACCTAACACTGGTTAAAAACCAGTATTAGATCAACCTTGTTATAGTTCACGCAATTGTTAGATTGACAGCATGAAACAAGTGGTGAAGGCCTACCCATATGCCATGGCCACGTCGGGACATCACCAACCCCGTCTACAGAGAGCACCTTCTCGCGACAGTGTCATGGTGATGACAAAAAAACTGTTGACAGTTGACGAGCTGAGAGAAGGACGCCATGGGCAGAAGTTGGAAGAAAAAAGAAAAAGAAGTCTTTCTACAAGTTAAAGAAAAGAGCGAAGAAAACAAGACGACATCAGGAGTAGTCTCCTAACCCCCTAGCATAATGAGGGTCAGAACCGGGTGCGATACCCATATTATGGTTCAAATGGTTCGCAGGGACCGGGGCTCTGCCAACCGCGGAAGGTTGTACAGTAGAAAGGTCACTGTTTCCGAACACAGTGTTCTCCGCCTTGTTTCATGCTGTCAATCTAACAATTGCATGTACTACATGTATATCCTCAATTCTACGTACATGTATAAGTAGAATAGGCCCTTCAGCCGCGTGTTTACGGGAAGAAGTTCTTTCATACACATCATTTTCTTTCCCATAAACACTCGGCTTCAGGGCTATTATTCTATACACTGTACGTATACCCCTCTGACTCGGGTTATATCCTCTACTTATGAGGTCAAACGCGCATGTATAGCACACAATGAACACCCAACCGGGTGATGATGTACACACATACTGCTCTACATTGTAGTACAGAGCTTCGTACATCTGTACAACGGTTACGTGCATAAGGACTTCGTCAGGCCATATCTTCACCAACTGGCGTTGCTTCCGTCCTCAGATATCGAGAAGAGCTGTCATCGACAGGTAGCTGTTTTTCCTTGTCTACCAAGCTGCCACAGGCGTAAGTGATTGCCCTAGTTTGGCTCCAACAGCGTGTCTTCTTCCATTGCAAAACGATTCTTGACCTTGAAGATAGCGGTGTCCTATTTCTTCCTTTTTTGGCCAATCTTTCCAGCAGAAGAGTGTCATCAATTGAGTTTCGACGTGTGTATCACGAAGAAGTAAGTCATTCTGCTCAACTTAGCTGGTTTGTTGTTGTTGTTGTTGTTGTTTCAAATCTTTATTCTCACGATAGCCAGTGGCCAATAAGAGATAATAGTGTAAGAAAGGAGAAAGAGTGAGGAAGAATTGGGTGGGCAGAGCCTAGGGGTTAATGACTACTTAAGTGTACGGGCAGGGGTGGTCGCTACCCGAGCATACAGAGTTGTGCAACAGCAGGGATATCTGGGGTTTGAAGAGAGTACGAGAAGGGATTTCGCGAAGCTGGGTGGGCAAGCAATTAAAGTAATGAAGAGCCTTGTACAGGGGAGAATGGAGACAGCGATCAGTCCTCGGAGTTGGCAAGTGCCAAGTACGAGAGCGACGTAAGTTATACACGTTGTTGTTGTTGTTGTTGTTGTTGTTGTTGTTGTTGTTGTTGTTGTTGTTGTTGTTGTTGTTGTTGTTGTTGTTGTTGTTGTTGTTGTTGTTGTTGTTGCTCGCTCGCTTGCTTGCTTGCTTGCTTGTTTGTTTGTTTATTATTTTACTTGGGCATTCCCAACATACCCTAAGGTCTTCTTACATGGCGCCGAACATGAATGAATGTGTCAGGTTCCTGGCGAAAAGAATTGGGGACATAATTAGTGCGAAGGGATTCGAATGGGAGTCGTTGTTGTTATCGTTGTCTCTGTTCCTATAAAGGGACAATTGGTTTTCCCCCAACATACCAAAATATCGGCTCGTTTGAAGGTCAGACATTAGCCTCTTTTGCGGGAAAATTTAGCCAACAAAGTTATTCAAAGCAGTTCCTCGGCCCTAACGAAAGAAGTGATGAAAGGCTGGCTGAAAGTGTTTTCAGTGAGTTCCAATGGACTATTTGCAACAGGCGAAAGTCGTTCCTTTGGCCAAAGGCAACGAAGATGAATTGCACTAACATCTTCGTGAAGCTCACGCTGGCATGGAGCGTCAAAATGGTAGGTGCTACCAACGTTCTATCTACTTGTGCCTCCGTTGCTCTTCGGAGAATATCAGTCTTGGATTTGTGTAGGTACTAGGTGCAACTGTAAAATCAGGTGCAGAGTTTTTCTGCAAAATAATTTAAAATTGTTACTGCGAAGAATGTGCGACTATAATAATTATACACTCTACTCCTCCTATCCGAAAAGGCTTGTCACCGACGGTATTACTGAGTAGGACAATCGGATGGACATGGTCAATTATTTATTATGTAAAAAAATAGCCACGAGGTACTGGAGAATGTATAGAGCAGAGGATTAGGGGAAGAAGATTGTATTATTGAAACGCCGAATGGTATCGCTAACACAACCACGTCATAGAGATTCTTTGGACACGCCTTGAAATTTATAACGTATCCAGTTGTACGCTATGCCAGCAGCCTGCATCGCACCATGTACTGTTTTCACGTCGTGGCATTCTGCTGTTACACTGAAGAAAAGAACAAGCTTCAGGATCCTCCCCATGAACATTTTCAAAAGCCTTCCACTAGTACGTTCACTGTCTTCTTATTAGATGGAATCATGCAAAAAGGAACTGAAAAGTACAATGACTTCTTCATCAGAGATGTGATCGAAACAGCGCAAAGAAGAGTAGCCAGAAACGACACGGTAAAAGTTGCACCCTCACCTTCTTCATCATTAATTTTCCTTTTATATTCACGAGGTTTTGCAATGTACCGTGTTGTTTCTGGCTTCTCTTTTCTCGCTGTTGCTATCACATCATTCTCTGCTGTATATAATTTATTGTGCATGTCGAGTTTCTTTTTACCTGTATACCACCTGATGAGAAGACAGTGAAAGTGCCAGCAAAAACATTCTTTTGAAAAAATGGATTCCGAGGAGCTTGACGTCTGTTCTTTTCTTGAGTGTGATAGAATTTTTGTCTCCAAGGAAACACTGTTCTACTACGGATTGCTCTTTCACTCCTCTTGTATACTCTGACTACTGCAGTTCTTGGAGATAACTGATGTGGCAAAAGATATGTGCGATTTCGTGTTTCTGATATTCCGTTGACGGTTGGTTGTATGTTTGCAATTCCATCTCCGTGTGTGTTCGTTACCGGGTGTGTGACTGCAGCGATTCCGAAGCGGAGATCTTTGCTGAACGTCGTGTGTGGGTGCAGCAATGGAGCATTACAAACTGCTTTCTGTTTTGCTGGTCATCCAGGTGAGTTAACCCGGTTGCTAAGATAGTAACCCACTGCTGAACTGCTTTCCGGGTATGGCTTGTGTGTACATGTACTCGTAGCACGTGTAGCGTATCCCACCGCTGGCACCAATTCTGTAACGGGCCGCAGTCTTTCTCGGAGGCAAATGCAGACGGGTCTCAGTGAACACACTGTTAATAATAATTCTTACTGAACTAAACGGAAGACTACATTGTAAACATTAACTCTGACTCTAACTCTAAACTGACATAAAGAAGGTTCTAACTGGTATCTCTAACTGGCCTTTCTAACTGGCCTTTCTAACTGTAGTTTCTAACTGAACTTCTAACTGGCGTGTAGAGAATTAAGAACAGCAGCTTTTATAGGCAGACAGCATACGTGCTGCAATAGCAATGGTCACGGCAAAGGCTCAGCAGAGAGAAGAAGAAAGGTCAAAGTATGTTGTGTGGGCTACAGTCATTGCACAAGGACTGCCATTTGATTCTATGCAGAAGAAGGAGCTGAATGCAGTGTGGGCAATGGGCGTAAAAGAGGCGGTTGAAAGTGCAGCAGTATTTCTAAGGTCAATATGAAACATTGAACGCAGTGCAGTGAGACTAGTTACTATCCATGTCATGGATCTGCAAGCACGGTACAGAGTTGCAAGTGCGGGGGTGCGGTGTAACACGCGTGACCAATACATTGAAAGTGATTCACGCTGCAGCTGTGTGAGTTACTAGCGTGCCAACGCTACAGCACGTACGGCTGCAACAAATGCTGTAAATGGCTGAAGAATCCTTTCAATAGGGCTTGAAAGTGCTACGTCACAGCATAGCAACAATTTCAAAAATTCAAAAATTGGATCCACTTGGATCCAGTTTTTGTATGGATCCAAGCACATTTCAAGCTGTCGTACTCTCAGCAAGGTGATGTTACCAGTGAAACTGACTGATTTGGCTACTGGGGGCGGGGTTACAACTGGTGGCGAAGTAAAAGTCACCCCTGCATACGACATGAGTGGGTTGCTATGCACCCACATACTGAGGCAATAGCAAAGTCACACCTTAGTGGATCCAAAATAGAAATCTGATGTCAACTTAGTACTCCCTGGCCGTTTTTGACGTCATCACTTTCAAGCCCTATTTAAAAGAAGGAATGTTCTAAGATTCTAGTACTGTTGAGTATATGACTGTTAGCATCTCGCAGCACTTGACATACATGTAGGTATTATTATTTTAAATTTTGAATAGGGGAATCCCCACAGGCCTAAGGCCTGGATTTCAGTTGCCAGCACTGTAGGTATACCCGTTATCTCATGCAGAACAATACTATGCATTAAAATTATCTACCGGTTTGTGCCAACTTTGAAGGCAACCTGTGGCAAGGTGTTACTACTTCGGTTAATCGTTGCCATTTTTGTAGTTTAATGCTCTTGGTATGCATATCCAGAATATAAAGTAGATTTTGAGACTATGCATGGTCAGAAACCTGGTTTCGAACCTTCCTTCCTTTGGATTCAGAAACAAATAGTCACCGAACCTTCTGTTTTCTTTATTTGAATTCGCTAAAACCAAACGGACAGAACTGTCCAGTGACAAGGGAGCGAATGATGAGCGTCATAATCACTATGCATCAAAACATCTCAGGACAAAATGAGACAGACTATATTAGGGCGAGGGTCTGCACAACACTTGTACATAAAGGGGAGTAAGAGAACAAAGGCGCGGCAGAAGTCGAAGCAAGAAAGCAATCAACGCCAGAGATATTTTTGTCCACCAAAAAGAGAGAGAGAGAGAGAGAGAGAGAGAGAGAGAGAGAGAGAGAGAGAGAGAAAGATCCGAGAGAGAGAGAGAGAGAGACAGAGAGAGAGACTAACAAATGAGGGCTGAGACCTCTACAGCAGGGCTTTACGTCTGAAAACAACCTCACGAATTAACAAGCAAGTTGTCAGGGAGAGAGACGGGCAGGCAGGCCAACAGGCAGGCATATAATGAAAGTATGGCGATAGTGATCCATCTGACCTCAAGGGTTCATGCTGTGTGGAACAGCAGCAGTGCGAAATTGGGCCGGGTGCGGTATGGCCTAACCTTTGTTGCAGCCGCCCTGGTACCTGTCAACCTTTTCAAACCCGAGATCGGGACAATCACATACTTGGTTCCTAATCCTAGTCTTCTAGCTAGGTCAGTACGCCGAAAACCATTTCGGCGAGTGGCATTTCATTGCCGTCGACTTGTCGGAAATCGCATCGACGCTTGGACAATTCTCGACAAATCAAGCAAGAGAAATCATTTTGTTATTAATTTGGTGGTGAGCCTCCAAATGCTAGGGTGGTGACAAGTCACTGCGCTGGCAAAACGACGATGCCAACCTTCTTGAGCGTTGTTTGTGCGTCGCTGTCCTTCCAGCACGCAACTCCGTAGTCTACGTTCCACAATTCCCTAGGGAACATTGGTGTACGCCGTGTACCGTTCGTTCTGAGTCTGCCCATGTAGTATTCCTCAAAATATGTTATCACATTCTCTGCACACTCTGGGAAGTTTTCCAGTAGGCATATCCACCCTTCACTAGCTTAGGTTTGCCTCGCGAAGTAATAGTTAGGCCAGTAAAATCGGGATGAACATCCATGATTGAATCACCAAGAGAAAAGATTTCGTATCCAGAGTTTCCAGTTTTCCAGTAAAATTCGACGACAGGGTCAGACAGGATCAGCGATGAAAATGTAACTTCGTCGAAATGTACTCGCCGAATGTGTCAGGCGATGAAAAAATCACGCTGTGAAACTGCACAGTCGCGAATTGTCACTCGATGAAATGACCACCTCGAAATGTCTAGTGACGAAATGTCACTCGCCTAACTGACCGGATACCCTTAGGTATTAAAATGTATCATACAAATGTAGCTGTGAGGCAGGGAGTCGTCAAATAGTATTTGACGACTCCCTGCTGTGAGGCATGCCACAAGTGCACTTTTTTGGTGCCTTTTATTAAAATAATAAATAAATTTCACGGTTCGCGAGTTTTCGCATCCGTAGGAACGCCACCTCCCTCTAGAATTAACGCAGCTGCAGCGCCTAAACGGTGGGAGGTGAGTAGATCAGACCCACCACAAAGTGGTAAAGACCGAAATCCCACCAACTGCATCCATGTTACCCTCGTGCCAGGCCACGAGTTCCCAATTAACTGTGGGTCGCAGCACGGCTGGAAAAATTCCTTCCGCTTCCAAGCAGGACTTGAACCTGTACCCTCTTTTTCTCAATCATGATCTTAGACCATCCCACTACTGCCCTTTACCACCCTCGATATGGGGACGGTCCCGGCCAAATCGGTATGGTTGGTAGGTATGCTAGTGCTGTACATGTACAGTGCTGGTCTGGCCATGCAATTTTATCTTGTACATCAAGTACTCGCCACTTGCTGTGCAGTCCTAGGCATGCAAACACTTTCCCTTCTCTTTGTTATTTTTCTGGTTTTAGAGTTCGAACCCATCGTTATCGTGCTAATAAAGAAAATTGTGTACAAACAATGTCTCTACGCCGTCCACACCAGTCTAAAAGAACATGGCTAGAATCTTCCTGAACTGGCCAAACTTTTTCCTTACCTTCTCTTACTAGGCCGTTGCAGGGAGAAAAGTTAACCTCTTACTTGTACTTTTAAAGGATCAGTCGAGGAACTGAATTGCCTGGAAAAAGAGAAAAAAACGCCTTTTACTTTTTAAATTTGGTATTGGCTCTGTATCCAGGTCGCAAAAGTCAACTTGCTGTTAAGCGTTTTTATCATGTTTGACCAAAGCTGTGAATGCTTTGCTGTTTTCTTCTGTGGCAGTTCTTGCAGCTTGTTGATGGTGCAGGCATGTACTACATAAGTAGTAAGTGGAAGGTCACTGATTGATTGCTTGAGAGAAATTGTGCACATGCATTGGTTGCTTATGCTGTTTGTGTTTCTGTTTTGGTACTTACTCTGGCCCCGGGTGCGCGTGGAACCTGTGGAGCCTTTCAAACCTAAAAAATAAACCCCCTTTGAGCGTGGCGTCATTCTCTTGGCAGCGGAAAGAGCGTTTCAAAGAGCCCTAGACTGTCAAAATCAAGCAAACAGAACGTAAGTTATGATGGAAATGGTGGAGTGAACTGCAATTGCGCATTTTCACGCGTTCAGTGGCACCTCAAAGGGTTAATTATATTGAATCAGTTGTTGAGCCAAGAATTAAGCCGCCCATGCTTGAATCTATTGTAAACGATGCATTCAAATAAGAATAAACAGCAGATCGTAACCCAGTCAACATGGTCAAAATTTAATCTTGCTCGAATTCAACGATCTAACATCCAGATCGACGAGAAACCACTCAGCTGTTGGGAGATACAATCTGCGAAGCACTGTGAGCAACAGTACTCGATATAAATTACCTCTTGAGTTGAGCTACGATCGTGGCAACTTCAGGAGGGTATGAAAACCGTGCAAGTGTCAGTAAATGAACTTCACAAAAATGCCAGTAATCGAGTCGCACGACGCAATTGGACGGACGCATTTGGGCCATTTTTCGTACAGTGGCGGTGTAACACTCATATTCTCAATATTTTTAAGGCACACAGTCACGGATTGAAAGTTGTTGTTCCATTCACAAGGAGGAAAAGAAGATAGAGGCACTGCGAGTATGAAAAGAAGACGGGGGCAGTGCGAGTATGAAAAGAAGACAGAGGCAGTGCAAGGAATGAAAAGAAGACAGAGGCAGTGCGAGTATGAAAAGAAGACAGAGGCAGTGCGAGTAGGAAAAGAAGACGGGGGCAGTGTGAGTATGAAAAGAAGACGGCGGCAGTGCGAGTATGCGCACAGCTTGCCATGAACACCTACATTCCCTGGGACCGTTTCAGGAAGATTGAGTGAGTAACGGTAGTAAGCCATGAACGGAGACCCCCTCGACTTAGGCCTCGGCCTTTGGCGAATCCATAAATAAATAAATAAAATAAAAATAAATAGAACTGAAATGATCCAAAGAACATGAATAGTGCAGAATCTTGATATCTTGGCTCCTAAATTGTTTGAAGAAGGGCTGAGGCTTCCTGCAGCTTCATCTGTGAAAAGAATTCGGGTGGACACACCCATTCCCATAGCGCTGCATATCACATCCGAACTTTTGCTGCTTCTCCTCCGTGATGTGCTAGTTGCGCCTTTTTCTCTCTCTCTGTCATACTAGGTGACATAATTCGCATCTTTTTTGGCGCTACACTCTGCGTATATACTGCTCTTGTGTGGCTTCCACGGTATTCATTGTTATTACCTGATGATGGCCAAGTGCCGAAACGTTGTAAAATAACGGAACTGGTTCGGATGTGATATGCAGCGCTATGGGAATGGGTGTGTCCACCCGAATTCTTTTCACAGATGAAGCTGCAGGAAGCCTCAGCCCTTCTTCAAACTTGGTTCTCCTCTTCCCGGAGCGAGGCAGCGTGGCGGTTTGTACAATGGTCTTGGAAGCTGCAGAGGAGCGAGTGTCAATTGTCTTTTCTTTTGCAGTGCCGGCGAGAGGGATTGATCCCCAGATTTATTTCGAATTGTGTGCGGAAGCCAGCATCAACGAGTCACAAGACCATCAGAGAACACAGGAGACATCAGTACTGCCGCCGTCTTCTCTGCGATGCCATCGAAGACAAATGCGCAGAGAAAGATTACCGCGGGAGGCGATACAAGCAGTCTAGAGAGCAACTGTGGACGTTTACACAGTCGGACTACCTATTGATCCGTTCTCTTCAACGTGCAGTGGTTACCGAAGAACGAATAAGTTCCAACGCCAGACTAAATCGAAAGATTTCTGGGCTTCGAGAGGCGGATCAACGTGTGGCGGGAACCAACAGCTCACCCCGCGGCCCAACTCCTGTTGCCGCCGTTGGTGTTGCGTCACCCGGTGGGCATACGACCAATGCTGAGCCATCCAATGAGCGGGCGTTGGTGGTGGGCGACTGTGTGTCCGACCAGACAAGGCGTCTGCTGGAACATGGACCTAGCTTTGTCCCGTCGACGGGGAGGCTCACCAAGCAAGAACGAACAGATGTTGAGACATCGGTTGAGAGGATGGCGTTCACCCTCCGGTGGCAACAGCCCCAGCCTCAGGGTGTGGACCTCAAAGAGGAGGACCCACCGCCAGAGATCAGACACGACAAGAAATTGTGGAAGCTGATGAAGCGTGGCTTTAAGCAGCCCCCACAGATGGACGACAAAGACGAAAGGAACATGGCCAACTTCCGCGACGAGGTGTTACGAGCTTACGACAGACACACACCCTCTAAGCCCAATCTGACGCAGGAGGAGCGGGTGGAGCTGAAGCGACTTCGCACAGACCAAGAAACCATCATCAAACCATCGGATAAAAGTAAAAAACTCGTTGCTATGAGACAGGAGCTGTATTTGCAGAAAGCAGAAGACATATTATCGAACATGACCATGTATGAGAAAGTAGATTTGACCATAGAGTCCTACGAGACCAAGACACGAGAAGTAATACTGTCAGAGTGCAAGAACATGGATTCAAAACTCCTAAAGTCAATCCTACCAAGCAGTACGAAGTTCCCCGAGTGGTACGGTCTTCCAAAGGACCATAAGCAGAACTTACCATTGCGACCCGTGGTAGCAGCGTGCGACAGCCCAACGACTGGAGTATCTATTGTATTGGAGCGCATCCTACAGCAGCTCATTCAATTTGTCCCGGCCCACCTGGCTAACACGACGGAAGCAATAACCCACATCTGTGACGCATGTCCGGGATTGAACGCCCCCGATGGCACCATTGTTATGTCCATGGATGTAGTCGGGTTATATCCGAGCATACCTATTCGGGAGGGCGTTCAGGCAGTGGTGGATATGCTGCAGCAGTATTCCCAGCGGATCGACATGTTTGGGCTGAGTGTGAGCGGGGTACGGAATCTGCTGCTGTTTGTTCTCAGCCACAACTATTTCAGATTCGGCCATCAGATCTATCACCAAGTGGACGGGGTTGCAATGGGTAACAATCTTGCACCCCCATTTGCGATTCTATTCATGCATACGGTTGAGGCCAGGCTTCTGCAGGATTCTCCGTTAGTACCGCTCCTCTACAAACGCTACATCGACGATATCCTGCTGCTATGGACCCACGGCAGAGAGAGCTTGATGCGGTTTGTGCAGCATTTCAACTCTGCACACCCAAGTATCAACTTCACATATGAGCTCAGCGAGGTGAGTGGCTCCATAAATTATATGGATATCACAATTATGATCCAGGAAGGCAAGCTGGCATACAAGCTGTACCAGAAGGCATGTGCTAGTGGTCTACTCATTGATTATACTTCGGCAGTTCCCCACCATATCAAATTGGCAGTTGCTTCGTCACAATTCCTAAGAGCTCAGAGGCTCTCATCGAATACCAGAATGCGTGCAGAAAGTGAAGCGATGGTTCATGAGCAATTAAGATTGAACAATTACCCAGAGAAAATCATTGAAGAGGCACGCACTGCCTCCATAAGGCCAAAGCGTCGTCGCCATGCCAACCCTTGCTGCGCATTTCTAAAGCTTCCATATAAGTCAGATAAAGTACATCAAGCAGTGAATAAAGCAATCAGAAAGTATAAAATTCCGGTTAGAGTCGTATATGAGCACACTGGTAGCCTGAGGCGCACATTGTGTCGCTCCGCCCTCGTTCCTCCTCTATGTGTCAAGGCTGCAAATCCGCTACAACCGAAAAAAAGAGGTCGCCCAAAGGGGCCATGTATCTCGTGTATATCCGGGGGACAGGATGTATGTATGCAGAAGAATGTTGTATATCAGCTGAAGTGCAAAGAATGTCCGGAACAATATGTTGGTGAGACTGGCCGCTTTCTGGAAACTCGCCTGGAAGAACATAATGGTGAGGCAAGACGCCAGGAACTCGACAAGCCATGGGGCCAACATTTTCGCACCACTCACCCTGGATGTAAGCTTAACTATGGGCAAAGTGCATTCTCTGCAGTTGAAGTAATAGGAAGAGAGCCTGATCGAGCCCGTCGAAAACTGCGCGAGGCAATTGAGATTCGTGATGCCAAGCCCCATGTGAACATAAGCACCGGATGGGATTTGTTGTGAATTTTCTCAGCTTCCCCTGCTGCTACTTCAATATCACTGAATAATTATAATATGAGGCGGGTCACTCAAAACCATTCTATTCCTGATGCCTCGTCGCGTCCCTGGTGGTAACAGTTTGGCATGGAAGTTTTAACCTCATAGTGCATTGACTCATGGGGCTCCGTGCTCCCCTCCTAGATCCTGTGCTAGAATTAACACCATAATTATTTGGCATGTACCCTCACTTAGAGCACAACGGCGCGCTCTTCTTCTCCGTGATGTGCACAGTTGCACCTTCTCTCTCCCCCCCCCCTCTGTATAGAGGTGACATAACTCGCATCATTTTATTTTTTGGCGCTACACTCTGTGCAACGCCATTCACAGAGCACAATGCGCGCTACCTTTTGCTGCTTCTCCTCCGTGATGTGCTAGTTGCGCCTTTTTCTCTCTCTCTGTCATACTAGGTGACATAATTCGCATCTTTTTTGGCGCTACACTCTGCGTATATACTGCTCTTGTGTGGCTTCCACGGTATTCATTGTTATTACCTGATGATGGCCAAGTGCCGAAACGTTGTAAAATAACGGAACTGGTTCGGATGTGATATGCAGCGCTATGGGAATGGGTGTGTCCACCCGAATTCTTTTCCTAAATTGTTAATGGAAGAAGGAGCTTATTTATGATAGGTTGCACGCCGTGACTTGCCGTCCTACTGGTAGGACCACGTGTCCTACCAGGATGCAATAGTGTTGTAACTGACTTTATTCAAGTGCTCCCGGCCTCGTGCCATCTCCACACTCAGGCAATGGACGACGATAACTACACTTAGGAGACTATTATTATTTGTGACAAGACGACGGAAACACAACTTTATCACTTTCTTAGTATTGACTCCCATTGATTTTCGCTATACCTACATGTATAAAGCAGTCAAATATTCCTGCATTGAGCTAGAACGATGATATTGTTATGATAATTATATCATAATAATTATATACAATGTAGCTCATGGGTATTGAAGATATGTCATTTATGAATATGTCTATAATTATGAATATTGCAGCCTGAGTGATAATAATAGTGCTATTTCCTGAGTTTGACTGTTTCAGGATCTGTCACGATGCACAGATCTTCATGCATAGATCTCGCCTGGCTAACGAATATAGCGGTCGTTAATTCCAAACGAAAATTTGTACTTACATGTATACAGTATGTGACCTTGTCTAGCACAATGATCAATGATTGTGACACATACGTCACGTCATTGTGTGAAACTACAGCTACCGCCGTATGTACAGTCTGGTGGCACCGACGAGAAAAGTAGCGCTATTTTTTAGAGAGCAGAGAGACTGGCGATAGGCGATACTGCTGCTCTCTGTGACGCTGGCAGCCCCCTGCACTGATGTAAATATTAATTGTAATGAAAGTGTATATAAAGCCGGATTCGCGAGTCTTTTCCAAGTGACGATAGTTTGTACCGGTAATATTTTGGCCTTCAGCTTTAGTTTGTGGAGAGTGAAGTAATAAAAGTGGTGAGTCCTTCTCTAGCTGTGAGAAAACTACACTGTGTGAGTTGTTATTTGTTGGTCCAATGGCAGCCACGGGAGGCGGAGACTCTGCTTTTGAAACAGAAGATAAGAGCAGTGAGAGTGATGGCTTTTTCACAAAGTTAGCAGAGAGGAAAGCTCTAACTTGGAAAAGAACGCACAGCACAACCAGCTGCCCGCAAAAGGTCGGTTGCAAGAAGTGGAAAGTCCAGCGACTCGAGCCAGAATACCGAGGCAAAGCGCGTGAGAGTGTCGGATGAGAAATCCACCGCAGCACCCACGATCGGATTGCAGAATTCCCGGACGAGTACCTCTCGGTTTCTTCGGGGAAACTCTACTGCACTTGACGATTAGTATCAAGCAGAGCATTGTGAAAGCTCATGTGAATAGCCAGCGACATGTGCAGGAAAAGGAGAGAAAGAAACGGACGAAACTTCACCGACAGGCAATAACTGCTTTGTGGAAAAAGTTTGCAAGTGAAAGCACGAGCTGGCGGGAAGTGGTCAGTCACAAACTGTATGTGTCTGTAAATACTCTTGGCTGTGGTGTTGGTGTTGTGTGTTTGTGTTGGCAGCATCATCCGAGTGTATGGATGGCTTCAGGTGGCACAAGGGCACTAGCGGGTGCCACGACATTGACGAATGCAGTATCGGTACCGCCGGCTGTGTTGCAAGGGCGGTCTGCATAAACCAGCCCGGTTTCTTTGAGTGTGCCTGCAAGTATGTACTTACAAGTGGGGACGATGTGGTTTGGCAGCGGCTGCTGCACATACATGTACACGTGATAAGCATCCATTTGCTTTTGGAGAATCCTTTAAAAGGGGGCAGCCTACCCATAAATTTCATATGGCATTCAATTGACCGTAACTTTGGTGTTTCTCAATGGATTTGAGTGAAATTTTGACCACCCACTCCTGCCACTATGCTGGCCCTCAGGACATGATTTACAAGTTCTTGCGCCTCACTGACAGGCTTCCAGGCCGGAAAAACTCAAATTTCCGGCATAGTGCCATGGTGTGCGAGCCACCCAGGAGCCAAACAAAATGCATTTACATTTTTTTCACATTTTCGTGCCCATTCTGTCCGTGCGCGGGACCCAAACCTAAAACAAGTCCAGAAGCAGCCATGGGTGGTGGGGTAGGGCCCCTCAACGTGGCCCTGGAATCTGTCACAACGGAACGAGTGGGCGTTCTCTCACGGACTTCCACAGATCCAAGTCAATTTTTGAATTTTTTTAGGTTTAGCACGTGCTACGAGGTCGTACCTTTGATACAACATCCAGTGCTGGGACCTCCACAGCAAGCCATTTCCACAGCGCTGCACACCAAATCCAGGATGCCCTCAGCAGGAAACCGGCAAAGACTGCCACTCACTTTCACTACTGCCTAGTACTGAATCCTACCTGACTTCTTGACACGACTCAAACTTGCCAAAGTCACTAAATCAACGTCAACTACAATAATCAAGCCACATATCTGCAACGTCACGAGGGTGCTGGCAAAAGTCCTGCTGCACGGCGGCGGGCTTTGCCCGCCGCCGTGCAGCCCAATACGTGGTTTTTTAACGTGATTTGTTGGACTTGGAGCAAAATTCTGCACACTTTCACGTGTTTCCATGATACGACAAGTTGCGCACGGTCTGCTCACATTCAAATACAGTGCTGCCAACAAATGACAGCGTGCAACAAAAAAATCTTTCCTTGCAAGGGCACATTTTCGGCCATAACTCTTGAACGGCCGGTCAGATCGGGACACAATTTTCAGAGAATTTGCAGCTATTCATGCTCTTTCAACTGACGTAGCACCCAATATGAATTTACAAATTTGATTTTTCAGCGAATTTTTGGGTAGTCTGCCACCTTAACAACAACGACGACGACAACAACAACAACAACAACAACAACAACAACAACAACGTACATACATCGCGACAGTGCAGTGTAGAGTGCCGGCTGCATAGCTTGCGCTGGTGCTGATATCGAGTTCAAGACAACTAGTACATAATTATACTAGTACTAGTGAGCATAATCTGCAGCTGAAAGACGTATCAATCTCGCAGCAAAGTTGTATACTGGTGTTCAAGGAATTATTTGGCGTGACATCAGCTACATGGAAGATGTCCTAGTCACTCCAAGCTGGAGATGATCGTCCAAGTGCTGAGCTCAGTGATCCATTGATCATCTCTAATCAACATCACTGGCAAGATGACATGAGCGTGTTGCTGATTTCCTGAGTTGCAACTCTAACAAACTAAAGAATCTCGCAAATCCACTCCGCTTTCTGCTGCTGTTTCTGTGTGTGTGTGTGTGTGTGTATGTGTGTGCGTGCGTGTGTGTGTGCGTGTGTGCGTGTGTGCATGTGTGTGTGTGTGTGTGTGTGTGTGTGTGTGTGTGTGTGTGTGTGTCCCATATGGTGCAGTGGTATGTGCAGTCGATTTCCAATCGAGAGGTTGCGGGTTCAATTCCCGACGATTATGGTCGCACACGTCTTTCTTCTCTTTCTCGGACTCTTCCTGACTTTTCTTTCATTCTCCTGGGTGGTTACCAACAGCCAGTGTATGTCGGAGTATGTGGTGTGGTGTGTGTGTGTAGAAAAAATGGAAAAAATGAAAAATAGGGATTCACTGGCCAGAAAAAAAGTCGCTTCAATCAGCTGTGTGGTGGATACCAGGCTAAAAATAGTGGCGGTCAATTCATCAGCCTTGCAAGCTGTTGAATGGTGTAATCCCATTATCCCAGCACAAGTTGCTATGTCTAACATAGCTGTTCGCTATCATCGCTTCCGCGATGGGCAGGTCTGAGGTCTGAGGTGTGTGTGTGCTACATGGTGTGTGTTGTGTGTGCGTGTGTTGTTTGTGACTGCAGGATTGGCTTCCGCGGCGATGGTCGTCAGGAGTGTCTCAATATCAATGAGTGTATGGAGAGTCGGCACACTTGCCATCAGAACGCAGTGTGCACAGACACAGAGGGGAGTTACACGTGTGCCTGTCCGGCTGGCTTCCATGACAACGGATCCCACTGTGCCGACAACAATGTCAATGGTGAGTGTAGTATGGTGTTTGAAGAGGTGGTACAGGACTGGGACCCCGATCATTCATATACTGTCCACTAACACCACCAGTTGCTAAACCATCAGCTCATGCGATAACATTGCACGACACTGACCGACAGTACTGACGTTCTACAACTAACTGGCTAACAGCTCTAGCACATCTTGGATGCGCACTCCAACAGCCTTCCAACTTGGAAGGTTCTAAGTTATAGAAATAACATAAGGAGCGGAAGGTGAGCGCAACCAAGATAAGCTGATTGTTTAGTAACTGGTGGTGTTAGTGGACAGTATAGCGTAACTTGTAGTTCCTTGGTCTTTTTGTATAAATTAAACTTTGGCTCTTCATCTGAGTACTTCCAACAATAATAAGTATATTCTCATCATTGGGGATTGTTTTAGAAAATGGCTTGAGATGATCCCATTACCCAATATTACTGCCAAAACCGTTGCCTCCTCCCCCCACCCCCCCCCCCTTAGTTGAGTGGATTTTGTATGTTTTGGGGCTCGTGAGAAAATCCATGCGGACCAAGGGTCACAATTTTGCTTCACAGTTGTTTCTGGAATTGTGCAAACGTTTTAATGTGAAAAAGACTCGGATGACCCCGTTCCACCCTATGCGAGATGGCATGATCCAGGAATATTTGGATGTTGCCCACAAACAAACTATGATTTCAAAGCCAATGCCGATGCTTTGAAGGTGGAACAGTTTGTTTGGCTTTACCGGCACCCCCGCAGCAACTCCGGCCAATGATCCACTGGAGAACACCCGGCACACCATCAGACAACAGTGCGGGCTATGATTTTGTTGCACCAGTCCAGTGGATCATTGGCCGGAGTTGCTGCGGGGGTGCCGGTAAAGCCAAACAAACTGTTCCACCTTCAAAGCATCGGCATTGGCTTTGAAATCATAGTTTGTTTGTGGGCAACATCCAAATATTCCTGGATCATGCCATCTCGCATAGGGTGGAACGGGGTCATCCGAGTCTTTTTCACATTAAAACGTTTGCACAATTCCAGAAACAACTGTGAAGCAAAATTGTGACCCTTGGTCCGCATGGATTTTCTCACGAGTCCCAAAACATACAAAATCCGCTCAACTAAGGGGGGGGGGGGGAAGGAGGCAACAGTTTTGGCAGTAATATTGGGTAATGGGATAATCTCAAGCCATTTGCTAAAACAATCCCCAATGATGAGAATATACTTATTATTGTTGGAAGTACTCAGATGAAGAGCCAAGGTTTAATTTATACAAAAAGACCAAGGAACTACAAGTTACGCTATACTGTCCACTAACACCACCAGTTACTAAACTATCAGCTTATCTTGGTTGCGCTCACCTTCCGCTCCTTATGTTATTTCTATAACTTAGAACCTTCCAAGTTGGAAGGCTGTTGGAGTGCGCATCCAAGATGTGCCAGAGCTGTTAGCCAGTTAGTTGTAGAATGTCAGTACCGTCGGTCAGTGTCGTGCAATGTTATCGCATGAGCTGATTGTTTAGTAACTGGTGGTGTTAGTGGACAGTATAGCGTAACTTGTAGTTCCTTGGTCTTTCTCTTTTGTATAAATTGTTGGAAGTGGAAGGTATTAAGGGACCCACCATGTCTAGTACCATGGTCTCGAATAATTCCACCTGTCAGCAGCCAGGTAGGGAAAAGCATAGAAACCATACGGTGACGAAGCATTAGGCAGGGCTAAAGCAAGGGTGGACTGTCCCCTGGTCAAGGGTGGACTGTCCCCTGGTCAAGGGCGGACTGTCCCCTGGTCAAGGCATCCGTATGGTTGCTATTTGATTAAAGTACAAAAAGCTCGGCAAGTAGAGGGCTGCGGCGGCCATGCAAACATTTATAGAAAAGGCAACATATTTTTAGGTTATAACGGATGGCGACAGGAATGATTTTGTGGCGGTGACAAATGGTGACTGTTGGAGGGGCATGGTGGGTAGCCAATTGTTATCCTGAGGCTACGCTCGAAGCATCGAATAAGTTTGTTGTATAGGGTTGCTGATATAGTGTGAACGTAGTAGTTGCTAGTGCACTCCATGGTGGATTGGATAATGCTTAGGTAAAAGGAACGTTGTGCCTGGGAAGTGATGCGATGTCGTATTTTGCGGAATGCGGCCAGCTTACGGTTGACGTCAGCGACAACTTTCCCGACCTGCTCCTTGAAGGCGAGGTGCTGGTCGACTAGCACTCCGAGGTAACGGACCCACTGGGAAGGGGACACTGGAAAGTTACCACAGAGGACAGTGAAAGTAGGAGGAACTGGGGTTGTCTTCCGGTGGACGATTAATAATTGCGTCTTGTCGGGGTTCAGTAGGAGGCCCAGTTCCGTAAGGTGTGATTTAACCGCATCGAAGGTCTCTGATAGTCGGTTCTGTATCGTGTTGATGCAGCTGCTCGATGTGTAGAGTCCTATATTGTCGGCGTAGAGTATGTTAGATGTGTGAGTTGGTGTGACGTCTGTTACGTGTCTTGGGTAGATCGTGAAAAGAACGGGGCCCAGGGCAGAGCCTTGAGGTACCCCCCCCCCCCCCCGACTACAGGTCACAGAGTCGCCAGAAGCTTTAGTGGAGGGGTTCGTCACTGCCTGTCGACGAGCGCTTAGATAGGAAGCGAACCAAGATAGTGCTGTGCCACAAATGCCGCAGGAGTAGAGCCTGTTGGTGAGTGGCTGGTGCTTGACCCGGTCGAAAGCCTTGCTCATGTCCAAGAATAATACTCCGGTGTACTGACCGTCATCCAAGCGTTGTTGCCACTTTGATATAGCCAGTGGAAGTGCATCCTCTGTGGAATGATCTGAGCGGTAGGCGAACTGTTGGGGAGGAAGAATGTTGAGCTCTGGGTGGGTGTTGATATAGCGCTGCAGTTGATGAAGGACGATCTTTTCTAGAAGCTTGGATACGATGGGGAGTAGAGATATGGGACGATAGCTAGGGGGACATTCTGGGTTGCCTTTCCTGAAGAGGGGAACACAGACGCTAATTTATAGATGTCTGGAAAGGAACCAAGGGAGAGTGATTCGTTGAAAAATAAGACAGAGGGGACCGGCTAGTTCTTCTGCACAGATCTTCAAAGGAAGGGGTTGGAGTTCGTCGGATCCGGTGGATTTGAAAGGGGAAATCTTCTTAATGTTAAGGAGCTTGCAGACTTCAGTGGTAAGGACAGGGGTGAATTGTTCGAAACTGGTGAGCTGTCGGAAGCCTTGAGGGATTTGCAGAGAAGGAGGTCGCTCTGGGTCAGAGATGACTGATCCAAAGGAGTTGGTGAGGCTGGAAACTTCAGCTTTGAGAGGTGTTGGAATAGTGTTCCTACCAAGGAGTTTGTTTAGCAGTTTCCATTGGCGGCGAGAATCATTTCGGCAGTCTGAAAACTCCCTAACTAAGTATTGGTTCTTTAGGTGCTTGTTAAGCAGCGTCCCTTCTCCTGTGTGTGTGTGTGTGTGTGTGTGTGTGTGTGTGTGAGTGTGTGTGTGTGTGTGTGTGTGTGTGCGCGTGTGCATCATTTTCTTGCCCGCGTACACGCACAGGTGTAGCCGTACACAATTGTGATGCTAGACCCTACAAACACAATGTGAGTCAGCGTATTTCTTTGTCTTTGTTTGTGTGTCCAGTGAAATGTGGTACACTACCAGCTCGTTTACTGCAGCAGTCGCAAGCATTGTCAAACAAGTCCAATAACATCTATCAATGTGGACGATCAGCTGCCGATATCATTGTTCTGTTCGACGAGTCGCAAACAAATGCAGGAGAGCTCCCGGCTCGGCTGGAAATGATCATAGAAAGCCTTGACACATCTCTTAAGGAGCATGGAATTGGTCTTTACCCAGGATTTGAGAATCATTATTCTCTTGTAGGTTTTGGTAACAAGGCACAAGTACCACGTGTCATTCGCAATGATGATGAGTCCCAAGTGTATGACATCAACGGATTTAAGGAGGCTAGTCGAAAGCTGTTGAAGTCAGAACGAAGTGAAAAAGAAGATGGTTACCATGCTATTAAGTTTGCTTTGGAGAGCATCACTGATCCAAAATCCAATGAGCAGCTGCTAAGATTGAACCAGAAAAACGTATCAGTAACTTTTCTGCTTATCTCGGATGAGGACCGATTTCCTATCCAACGCGATATTACCCGCTCAAAAATGAAGACAATGATCAAGAAGAATAACGTCCACCTCCAAGTTATTGTCGACAACGGGCTTGAGGGGAGTGCTGTTGGTGTTGGCAGACGTGGGGGAGATTACCTGCTGTTCTCACCAAATATGGAAGTGTCAGCTCAAAATAAAATGGGCATTCAAACCATGCTGAGAGAACATTCCTACCTGCACACTTACCGAGACTATACCTCACTTGCCTTGGTGCGTTCTGGAGCCATGTGGGATTGGAATTACATCTTCCAATCCGGCCGAGTGGAGTCATCGCACGTAGATGCTTTTGTCAACTATACTGTGTCGTCGGTCGAGCATAGAGTTCACAAGTGTTGCTCGTGTAGATGTGCCAGTGGCCAGGGGGAAACTCATGGAGTGCTGCATTGTGAGGCCACAGATGGGAGCGAGTGTAAAAGCAAGATTTGATCAATTGCTTAGCTGACCGTTCACTCTGTTTAAGCAGATAACAATAGCATTCTCACTCAAGGCCATAGTGTGGTATATGCCCAAGATCGGGAAGAACAAAAATCAACCCTCCATCTCATACCAGCTTTCACCAATTCAAGCAGGCAAGTAGCGATTTATTCATGTTTATATATTTCAGTTACCTCAATGCTAGATATTATCTACCATTTGGGGCTTTTGTGAACTTTCAAACTCATTTCCTGCCTCTGTTTCATTTTTTCTATCTTCCTTCTCCTTGTCAAGTGTGGTATTCACCCATCAAGAAATTTTTGGAACCCCATTTAGTATGGTAGCAATGTAAGAAGTGTGGGTTGGCGGGTTGGTCACAAATCAAGAACACTCTTATGATGATCTGAACTGTTCAACAGACTGTGGAAATTATGCTGTTACCAATAAATGTCCCCCTCCTATTCAAAGACACTTTCTGCAGCTGTTGAGAAAGAAGAGAGCTGTCTGCTCAGCGCCCTAATAGGTCAGCTGCAATGCTTGGTTGCTCACTTGATCGCCGTCACGTGGTTCATGCTGTCCTGGACAAACACACACACACACACACACACACCTCTGGCCAGGGAATCCCTTACACACACACACACACACACACACACACACACACACACACACACACACACACACACACACACACACACACACACACACACACACACACACACACACACACACACACACACACACACACACTACTACTACTACTACTACTACTACTACTACTACTACTACTACTACTACTACTACTACTACTACTACTACTACTACTACTACTACTACTACTACTACTACTACTACTACTACTACTACTACTACTACTACTACTACTACTACTACTACTACTACTACTACTACTACTACTACTACTACTACTACTACTACTACTACTACTACTACTACTACTACTACTACTACTACTACTACTACTACTACTACTACTACTACTACTACTACTACTACTACTACTACTACTACTACTACTACTACTACTACTACTACTACTACTACTACTACTACTACTACTACTACTACTACTACTACTACTACTACTACTACTACTACTACTACTACTACTACTACTACTACTACTACTACTACTACTACTACTACTACTACTACTACTACTACTACTACTACTACTACTACTACTACTACTACTACTACTACTACTACTACTACTACTACTACTACTACTACTACTACTATGTACAGCTACCCTATCGGGCCACGCCGCTCCCAGAAACGGGAGACAACGACAAGAAGAGAGAAGAGAAGAGAGAGAAATTGCAAACACACACACACACACACACACACACACCTGTCCTGTCCTGTAGAGTCACTGGGGCAAAAAGGTCACGTAATCCCATCACTGGGAAACTTGAGTCTTGAGAAGAGAGAGAGAGGGGGGGGGGGGGGCACGACGCCCGATGACGCTCCAGGTGCACGGGTAATCGCATCCGCTTGCCGCATATGCGCACGTGCTGGAAGGTTGAGCGCTCCTCTGCTGTTGGTCTATGGGCCACCCTTGAACAGCAGTGCCTGCCCCGTCCCCGGACACCGCGAAAGCAGCGACCACACCTGTCACAATGCGCGGCACAACATCCCTCCGCCGGTGCCGACGTTCCGGTAGCTCTAGGTGGCGCTGTGGCATCCACCGTCGAGGCACACACATGCCGGACCAAGCCACCGCGGCTTCTCAGCCACCGCCCACACCGCCCGCACTGACTGGCGCCCCGCTGCTCAGACACAGGCCGCGTACGCTCCTCCAGACACTTATGCCGAGCTATGTCTCCTTTCCGTGCAAAATCCCGTCCGCATACCATACATACCACTGGGGGCGGAGGCTCAGGCGCATTGTCAGGCTCTTGGTAGGTGCTGCGCCACTCCGCGCGAGACTCACATGCAACATCATACCATGATGCCTCCACACCATGGGCACGTAGATCCAGGGCAGCACAGTCCTTCCACCTGCGGCGTGGGCCATGTGCCGGACGACGCTGCAAGAAAGAGCCAAACAGCCGACCTGCTTCGGGATGCGGTTGTCCGGCATCCGCGCCACGTGCCCCAACCATTCCAACCGCCGATGTGCAATCTTGTCGTTAATCGTCTCAGAGTCTCCCCCGCGCACCAGCAGCTCTTCGTTGGTGATGTGTTCGTCCCACATCCGGCTTCGAGAGACCCCGAGGATGGATAGGATGCACCTCATGCTGAAGGTTGAGAGCTTCTGCAGGTCATGTTGAAGGGGCGTCCAGCACTCAGAGACGCACACACACACACACACACACACACACACACACACACACACACACACACACACACACACACACACACACACCCACCATTGGACGCCCATCGCCGGAGGCGATGATAGCGATGTTACAGCAGAAGCCAAAGCAGCTTGTGCTGGGATTGCACCATTCAACAGCTTGCAAGGCTGAAGAATTGACCGCCACTATTCAGCCTGGTCTACACCAGACAGCTATGAAGTGGCTTTTTCTGGCCAGTGAATCCCTACTTTTGGTCTTTTTTCATTATTTTACACACACACACACACGTTGACCTTGACCTTGATACACGTTGCCTTGATAGGTTACACGGTCCCCGTCAGGGGAGAGGGGTGGAAGAGGCTGAAGAGTAGCACTTCTGATGGCGTACTAGATGGTGACGTAGTCGGAACTTCCTTTGGCAAGGGCACTCAAACGGGAAGTCGGCCCTTTCCGACACTGTCCTTCGTTTCGTGCGGTCGCACTTGTGTCTGGCCAAGCCGCTGCTGGACTCGAAACTCCGGTGACAGGTGCTGCACTGCGGAGTGACCGGGTTGCCGGGGTGCTCGATGTTGGGAGCAGGTCTGTGATCGCACCGATGGGTAGCCAATCCACCGGGGCTGCAGAACCAATGTTGGCAGAGACGACACTGGCAAGCGCCAGCCTGATTACACACTGCTTTCTGCCGTTCTGCCAAGCATTTGTGACGCTTCTCATCTGATGGGCGAGAGAAGTACCGATTACATACTTGGCAATGGACATTGGGTGTGGGCGGTTCGGGCTCGAAACAACGGTACATGCGGCGCCAGTCGGGGCGAGAATCTGCCAGATCGTACCATCCCTCCACAGCATTCAGGCCTTCAGGTCCGCACTAATGCAGTCTTTCCAGCGTTTGCGTGGACCGCCAGGTGGACGGCGGGATGGGAGCAGACCGAACAACAGAATCTTCGGGATGCCCTCTGGTGGCATGCGAGCAACATGACCCAGCCACTCAAGTCGTCGCTGGCGAATCCGGACAGCAAGTGGGCGCTTGTCGCCCCACATTTCCAGCAACTGATCATTGCTGATCCGCTCTTGCCAGGCGTCTAACCTTGTTATGCCAAGAACGGTACGCAGACACTGCATGTAGAACGTGGAGAGCCTCCGGATGTCGGCTTGGAGGGTACCCAGCACTCAGCTCCGTACAGCAGAATGGTGACAACGCACGCATTGAAGATATTCTTCTTGGTGCGGACGGACTGATGGTGGTTGCTGAAAACTGGCTTCCGCAGGGAGCCAAACGCACGGGAGGCAGCCGCAATTCTGGAGGAAATGTCAATCGAACACCGGCCATACGTATCGATGATCGACCCAAGGTAGCGAAACTCCGTTACGCACTCGACCTGGTTCGAACCAACACAAACAGGGGCGAGGTCCGCATCAGAAATGTCTCTGCCGATCACCATGAACTTGGTCTTGGAGAGACTAACTGTCAGTCCAAACTCGGAGGCGACTTCATCGAATGTCACTGCAGCTCGCTCGAGCCCGGATCGAGATGTCGCAAACAGTGTGGAAATGTGGAATCATCCGCAAACTGCCATTCACTTACGGTGTCTGACACTGCTGTGCAGCAAGGCTTCTGTATTAGCTGACCATTGATGTTGTAGCGGATATCGACACCGAAGCCATCCACGCCTTCCATCCGCTGCTTCCAGGTATGGAAGACAGCAGCCATATACAGGTTGAAAAGGACCAGTGCCACGGAGCAGCCCTGGCGCAGGCCATTCTGTACCTCTAGCGGGTCCAACAGCCGACCATCAATGCGTAGACACGTCTCCATGTCCTTATGGAATGCTCTGATAATGCTGACCAGTTTCTCCGGTACACCGAGACGGAGGAGAACAGCCCAAAGCGCGGCACGGGGGACGCTGTCGTATGCCTTCTTCAGGTCGATGAACAGTAAGAAGGCTCTGTCATGATGTTCCAAGACCTTCTCGCTGATCTGGCGTACAGAGAAGATCATATCAGTGCAGGATCTAGCACGACGAAATCCACACTGGGAATCAGGAAGGACTTCTTCAGCCACTGTCTGCAGCCGGGTTTGGACAACGCGAGCGACCACCTTGCCGACCACATCCAGCAGAGCAATTCCTCGCCAGTTGTCACAAAGTGACAAGTCGTCCTTCTTCGGAAGAGGGACCAGGACAGAATTTACCCAGTCTTGCGGGACTCGTTCTTCATTCCACACGGTGGCCAGCAACTTGGTGAGCGCACAGTTGAAGGTGTCGCCGCCAGCCTTGACCAGCTCTGGGATAATGCCTGAACTGCCGGCTGCTTTGCCATTTTGGAGGTGCGCGACGGCTTTTGTCACTTCAGCTAGCTGTGGTGGGATCGCGAAATCATCCTGGCTCTCCAGCTGTAGCAAGAGCGCAAGGACACGTGGGTCGGCGCAGCTACGAATGTTCAGGACACCTTTGAAGTGGCCACACCACCTTGTCGCACGTTCCTCCTCTGTGGTGCACACACAACCGTGTTCATCCTTGATGGCCTGCACCTTAGTTGGGGCAAGGCCAAGAGTAGCACGCTGAATATCACGAATACATTTCCAGACCGTTGCGCCATTGAAGCGTGCTCGCTCCGCCTCCGCAGCTTTCTCCTCTAGCCACTGTGTTTTCGCACGGCGTATGGCAGAACGGGAGGCATTGCGCACTGATCTAAATTTACGGGCAAACTGATCGTCCTGGCGACCATGGGCAATCCATGCTGCATAGGCATCATTTCTACGCTTCAGCAGTGGGTCCAGGGTGTCACTGCTGTCAATGTACCAGTCCGGTTGGGGGCGACTTCGTCGTCCCAGGACAGTGTCACCAGTTGTCATCAAGGCATCACGAAGCACATTCCACTGTTCATCAAGACTAGCACCATCGTCTGGGCATGTTGTTTCTTCAACCGGAGATCGAACTTTCCGCAGACGAGGTTGTGATCGCTCCCACACTCGGCATGCTGAACAACCTGCGCGTCGAGGCAGCGACGACGAGCAGCCTGAGAGGTGATGACATAGTCGATGCAGTGACAGTGTTCCGTTCGTGGGTGTTGCCACGTTCGCAGCCGGCTCGCGTTTTTCTGGAACCAGGTGTTGCAGACCGTCGCTTCGTTCCGTGCCAAGAAGTTCAGAAACTCCTCGCCCGATGAATTCAGAACACCGAACCCATGAGGTCCGCGGACTGCGCTCCACTCGTCATGCTGGACACGGGAGCCAACTCGAGCGTTGAAATCTCCAAGCAAAACATAGGTAGATGTACATCTACATGTATCGCCACGTGGAACGCTGTCGAGTACAGTTTGTAGGTCACCATAGAACTGGTCTTTCGTGTGGCGTGGACTCGAGAACGACCCGTGGGAGCGTAGATCTACTGATAGGGCTCACATAATGAAATCCGCGACGTCACCGCCGACCTCATTCGCCAGGTGGCTCACTCGGTATCCGTGGAACCTCCACTGCAACCGCTCTCTGGTGAGCACTTCAGCCTCCGATCTGCGTCCATAGAGGACAATGCTCGCCTCGACATCGCTGCCAGTGGGCTATGGGGTGGCCGGTTCGAACGCACAATGTTTGATATACGGGTTTTCAACCCCTATGCTGCTTCGAATCGTGCTGCCTCAACCCCCGCTGTGTATGCCCGCCATGAACGCGAGAAGAGGAGGAGATATGAGGAGAGGACTCTAGAAGTCGAGAGGGCCTCCTTCGTGCCTGTCGTCATGTCGGCTAGTGGTGGTGCTGGGAAAGCCGCCACAGTTTTGTACAAGCGCTTGGCTGCTCTTATCTCCGAAAAGAGAAACGACCAGTATTCTGCCACCATGGCGTGGATTCGCACTCGGCTGTGCTTTGCGCTGGTGAGGTCGAGCATCATGTGTTTGCGTGGTGCCAGATCGTCCAAGTCACGCTACCTCCAGCGAGATCCGGTTGCGGTTGTCGTTGCAGAGGCATGCCTGCGGCCTGAGGCTTCTGACTAGCTTTAAAAAACAAAACAAAACAAAAAACACACATTTTAAAAGTTGCTTGGACTGAATTTCACTTGTTTTATCAGTGTATTATAGTTACCGTGCAGTACTGTGCATGCTAGCTACATAATCATATTACATTTTTGGTTTTGCCCGTACAAGAGGCTTTACGTGATATCTATTTTTAAAAAACTGATAGGGCTCCGCCGTACTCCAGTTCGAATTTCAAATTTAAAAACATCAGACGCGAGCTCACCGTTTGAACAGAGCAGCCTCCAGCTCTCCAAGCAGCCTCCGATGCCTTGTCCAAAACAATGGTGACTCCTTCACCTCGACGCTGAGCAGTGTTATCAGTTGGTACAGGTCGGCCAGACGATAGAACGAGTCTATCGGCAACACGAAATGTTCCATTTCCAAACCAGTCCGTTTCTTGCAGCCCTGCTACGTCGACATTGCGACGCCGTATTAAAGGGGCCGTCCGTAAATATCGAACTTTTTTCACAAAACGAATTAGTACAGTACTCGGTAGGTACGTATCGGTTATAGCGTGGGTGTTTGAAAAACGACTTTCTATTCTTATTTCCGCTATTTCTTACACCACCATATTTATCAACCATAAGTACAGCTGCAGTGGTGTCTTCAACTAATTACTTCATTTCTTACACATGATAAATCAAGTGTGGCATATCATTATATTATGTGCGCATGGGCAGGAAGATCATCGTACATGCAACGCAGTACTTCTGTGCATGTAGCTGGTCGTAGTCCCATAATCATGTGATAATATAGGCTTACCATGTGGCTATGCAACATGAGTTACATGACCACAACAGTTGAATCTGCAGCACTACGACGCAACGAGAGTCAGATCAGAACGGAAATGGACAGATGTAATTACTACAGGCAATACACTTTGTACTAATCTGGCATGTTTCGCTACACAAAGTCCATTCTTAGGACCGATATATTCTACTATGGGATAAAATTGCTTGTAAGAATGTGCACTTGAAATCCATGTTATGATTATGAAAACATGAGCGTTCATTCTTGTAGGCAGTATATTCTTTTACACGACCACGCTATAACCGATACGCACTGTATTTTAGTTTAGACCCAACCCCTTCCTCCCTCAGAGGCCCTCCCCCTCAGAACGTAAAAATTGTTGACATTTACATGCATATACAACAAAAGTCGCAAGTGTGTCACTGCTCCTATGGCCATGTACATGTATCGAAGTTTTCTGAAACGAAATTGGTCAACCCCCTCCCACCCCATAAGGGGCTGGTCACATTGAGGGAACAATCCTCAGATTATAAACCGGGAATAATCTTTTCTGCTTTTCATCACGGCCACACTGGATACGCACAATGAAAAAATCTCACTCACGCGAGCAATTTTTTTGTCACCATTCGCTTCTGGCTGTCTGTCAACCCCGCTCCTGAGCCAGAGCTACATCAGCACAGCCTCTACAAAAAACGAGTATCGCACGCTCCACTTCAGAACGCAATAAAAAAACAAGGAAACTCAAAGAAATCCAGTGGAAGCCGCGGATGATTATAATCTTCGGCGGAAAAGCGAGGCCTCGAGCTGATTTTCATCGAGTGGATTAAACCTCTCAAATCTCCCGCACAGCGGCAAATGTCCATGGATTTTTTTTCAAATTTTCCCTCAGTGTGACCGGCGCCCCGGCCCCCTAACGAAATTATTTCGTTTCGTGAAAAAAGTTCGATAATTTATATGGACGACCCCAGGGCCTAGGGCCGGTCACACTGAGGGAATCTTTTGAAAAACTCCGTGGTCACTAGGCCCCGGCGGATTATGCCTGCGAAATCATGGAATTATGCTTTCATGGATTCTCGCATTATGCTCGCAAAATCCTCATATTATGCTTTGGCATGCGGGGATACACTTTGTTGTACTTATGGAGCCCGAAAGTTCGGAAAATTGTGCCTTTTTCGTACTTGCAAGTGGTCACAACAGGCGCAGGCGCGTAGCACCGCCGTTGGCGGTGGTCCGGCCGGGGGGGGGGGGGGGTAATTTTTTGAAATTAGGGTGCAAAATCCTGCATTCTGGGCACTTTTTGCATTGTTTTACTATGGTGGTCGTGGTTGGGCGAAAAAGTGGTCCGGCCAAAGCCTGCTGCTACGCCCCTGTACAAGTAAGTGTACAACAAAATACAGGAGTATCCCCATACCAAGTTGTCCATGCATGCTAGAGAGCAACCTGGAAAAGGGGAAACATTACTTCTTCCATTCATCAGTTGACTTCTTTTGCTTTGAAAGATTTTTCCATTGCCAAATTAGTTTGAGTTACCTTTGAAAACTGTCATGTTCAACTGTCTTCGTAATCGTCATACTCGTCCAACCGATGTCACCCTAACCCTGCGGATTATCGTAATCAGCTCATCTCTCCCGTAGCTCCAGCTCTCCTTCCATCGTGACCGAACATCAGCTATACCTCAATTTGTCGAATTATTAGAGCAATATCCATAGCATGCACAGTCATAGCTGCTAAGATCCAGACGTCATGACTTCGTAACAAGCATAGTGTACATGTACGCGGAGTTTTGCGGACCACCCGTCACTATCTCGTCCGCCCCGGGGATACCTGTTAAAGGCTGATTCACTCGCATCTTCTGCTACATGTACTGTATCAGGGTGAGAAAGAACTTTGAAGAAGACGAGCTCGAGCACAAAAAATGTATTGTCATGATTTCTACCCTGCTTTTCATTGAAGGTTTAGTTCCCACGTAACGGAAACGTGTACGTGGGTGATATCATGTAAAGTGGATGACGGGCACCCACGTTGCAATGTTGTTTTTACTTGTAGTCACACGGAACAAACAAAAGCATGAAGCGAAAGGCCCAAACCTGGTCAAAGACGAAGGTACCCGGGCCTAAGAAGCTCATCCAATATTTTGATTTCGTGCTTCGGAAACTTCTTCAGCTGAGCACCCTCACAGCTCGCACAATGCGCTCCATTCAGATTTTCACCCACGTAACGTTCTGGCGGAACGTGGGTGAGCCTCCATATATACACAGTATGTCGTGAATCAGAAAACGTCTGTACGTGTGTAACTGAGTATCGATCACGTGGTTTTTTTATTTATTTATTACATGTAATACCAATGATCAAGTCAAAGGAAAAAGAAGTTAAGAGAAGTGCAAAGCAGAGCTGGAGTGCAGCCGCCCGATAGCGGACTGAAAACTACTAGTAGTAGGATGAAAAGAGCACAGACGAAGCAAATACAGACAAAACCAGAGGCAAATGGTATCAAATGCGAATGCCCGCCTCAGCAACCGCCAAGGTGGGAGGTGAGTCCAACTGCACCGGCCGAAGATTCCGGGATCCGCGCAAACACATCACGCTGGACCGGAGTAGGGCAAAACTCAATTTGCATCGAACCCAAGACATAACACAGCTGTATGCTTCTCCAGTCTTCGCGGCTTGAAGAGAAGCTATCCGCTTGTAGAGCGACTCCGCGTGTTTGCCCAAACCATACGTAAAGTACCCACGGATTACGTGGGACTACACCTCCCTCACTATCTGCATGACCTCCGAACCCTTTACCATGCAGACCACCAGCACTGATCAGGTGCATTGTACACAATTGTGTCGCCTACATACTAGAACTGTGATGCAGTTATGCTCCTACCTCCGAAGGGATGCCAAATTATGCTCCAAATTTTCAACCACCAAATTATGCCAATAATTATGCCGGCATAATCTGCCGGTGCCTAGTGGTCACCATGGATATTTGCCGCTGAGCGGGAGATTTGAGAGATTTAATCCACTCGATGAAAATCAACTCGAGGCGGCAGACGAGGCCCCGCTTTTCTTTTTTTTACCATATAACCAAGCCTATGAGAACCTCAA